TTGAAGTAGATATCTGAACCCTTTTCGAATTCATAAAGTAATTTTTCTCAGGGATGAAATTCATAAAACTGGCCTCCAATTCAGGATTAGGTTGTATATCCACGTGTCAGTCCATTCTTGTTATTGGCTTTTACTACCCTTGGAACTTAACTCCAAGTAATGGTAGTGTTTCTTAAAATAGATCTTTCTTTATTCTCTTACAATAAAGAATAAATTGGCTCTTTGACATCCAAACAGCTAATGTATATTTGATGTTATTTAAATTAATTGGATTATAAGTAAAAGTTTAAGAAAAGATTATTTTCACTGACAATGAACTGGCCTTTGAAATGAAAATAGGGCCTTGAATTGACTTTCGCAGTAAGAACACTTCCCACTGATTTTAGTGTTTCATTCGTCTCTTTATCTTTTATATATTTTTTAAACAGGTACTCGGAAATGATAATGATTTAGTATGGTAGAGTACCTCTACCTAAAAAGCATTAAGTGTTAAAACAGCTGTAACAATGGTATTTTACCGTCTCAATAACAGGTTCAGCAGAGCCACAGATCGCTGTCTGTGCCAAATTAAAAATTTCATAACTACAAATTGATAACAAAGATTAAGGCTAATAATGATAATGTCACACACCTTATATTCTGTGATTTAGGACCTTAGCTTCATCATATATGAAGAATAAATGTTTGTTATTGACCTTTTATATGTATATGTATTCTCATAAAAACGTACAGGATAAGCATAGGTTTTCTGTACGGTACCCTATGGAGCATGAGAATACGTAGCAACCCTATGGCAATTTACAATCGACAGCCAAACTAATTCAACTACATTTAAATTATAAAGATGAGCGAGAAATAAAAGTGAAATATATAGAGTGAGAAGAGAGAGGGATTTGCAGGTGTAATGCATTTCAAGTGTTTCTCAATTATATTAAGACTCTTTGGGGCTCTAGTGCGATTAAGCCATAATCTTTTAAAAAAGTCTGCACCGACAAAATTTGATAAACTCGCACTCAAAAATCTTGGCAGCCTAAAAAGAAATCTTTTTACTTTCACAAAACTTTTTGCTTGTTGATATCTTTATAATTGTATTGAAGCTGATAAGCTCTTAGTTATACTGGTTACCTTGTGACATTAAAAGGGTGTGACGTTTGCATATTGCAGCCCAATTATCAAATATCATATTAAAACAATTTAATCATGATAAAAAACTTTAAGAATTATGACATTGCTTATCACATTTTTACTTCTCTGTGTTCATTCTTAAGTAAAACGCGGCTAGTGATTAAAGATCGCCTAACTTTGAGTTGTGAAAGAGCAGTTTTAGTGAACTTATTATTTTTAGAACAGCTGTGAAATTTCTTATCAACATTTTACATAAAAAGCTACGTGTTAAAATCCCTTCCCTTTAAAATCGTAAAGAGAGTAGAAGTCCAAGGTCTCAAATTTTTCTCGATATCTTTCCTCTTATTTACGTTTTTTCAATAATTGAACATGTTTTGGCACTTGGCATTCAAACTTTTCAATTTTCTTCAAATTCTCTGCTACGGCTTTGAAAATATCATACCTATACGATCTTAAGATTTGAAGTTGCCAGACTTTTGCCTGTCATATTTAGAGCATGCGACTCTCTGAATGAGTTAGCAAAGAATTGCATTTCTGTAAAAATAGATGCAGTTAAATTTTCTTTTTTACCCAGTAGCTTTTAGAAACATAAAGATATTCAAACACTTAACAATGTTCCTGTTTTTTTGCACTACAATAGCTACAACTAATGTAAAAGATGCTTAACTAGAAAGTTAAATATTGGCAGTAACTGCTTATGACAACTTTTTCTAGCTTTGTATTTTAATCAATAAGGGGTTAAGTAACTTATGCTTCGTATTAAAAATTGCATTTGCAATAAATCCGAAAAATGCTGTACATCGCATCAACATTAAAACAATGAAAAATGAAAACGAGCAAACAAATTTTAAATGTAAGTAAAATAATTGGATAACTATATTCTTGCATTTATCAAACAAGGCATTTTTGTTTTTTTCCATACTTGATAATATTTGATTGAAATACAATCGGTGTAAGAGGATTTTATCATTTCCTGAAATATTTTAAAGGATTGAATAAGACGAGTTATTGACAGCAAAATTAAACTGTACATTTATTCTCGAGGAGCCAAGCTGTTTATAAAGACTTTTGCCAGACAATTTGGTAATGACTACTAACAAGCCTCAGATGAAAAGGGGAACGAACGATTTTGACAATTTTAGATGTCAGTTGACAAAAAAGAGCAGATTTTATCAAAAAATCAAGTTTGTGGCAAAATTTCATGCAAACGCTCCATTACAATTTCGCACACCTTATCGCGAGAAGAAAACAGCGGTTTATTGTAGTTTCATGCAGTTCGATATTAGGCCGGCTTGAAAATATAACCGCAAAGCATGTCGGTTGCTTAAAAGCCTTTCATGTAAAGTTGTTTTCAGTCACAATCCTCTGCTTTGAAATAATTGTAACTTGATTGCTTTTTACCTGGAAGATATTTAACCAAACTTAAAACATTCCCCAGTAATTGCAGCTTGAGAATAAGCACTAGGTAAGCACTCTTTCGTCCAGCATTATGCTCTTGCTTGGAGAAGAGGCGCAATCAAATTTTAGGCTGCTTTATTTGTCTAATCTTTAAATTAGCATCATTGTGTATAATTGTAACTTCGTTGAATTATACTCATACTCGGTGTTTCGTCAATTATTACGTTGAGGGGGCGCCAATGTGTGATCTGGGGGTAATTTCCTCATATTTATCAAAACATGGTCCACATAGTTATTCTAAAATTGAAATGAATTTTCTGTTTTTGTAAGTGTAGGTAGTGCTTTTTTAAGAACTGTCTCAGGAAAATACACCTTGTGTATAGCACAGAAACGACGCAAAAGGGCCTGGTCTGGTGGATCACGACCATAAACCTTCCACTTTGCAGCAGCTGGCGCAGTCCCGCCACTTCTTGAGTCTCAAAACCTTCTTGCCCCTCTCCCAACAAAGCAAAACTTCTAGCGACAGCAAACTTTTCTACTATTAGCAGCAAAAGCAGTATAGTTTTTGTGTACGAAGAATGAGTACACTATGTGGTGGGTCGAGGGGGAAGGCATATATATAATGGGTCGAGGGGAACGCTATTGTCAATTTTGTCATTATTTTTCTTCGCATATACGGGCCCTGTGCTCCTACCTTGAAGCAACCTCCGCACGCACTCTAGTTACTGAAGATCCAAACTGAATCCATGTATAAGCAGGAGGAATCCTTTCGATTGATACTAGACGGACCTGACAATGAGGCAGTGCTCGGCACTTCTGCACCGATAGGCCTTTGTTACAAATTCTAGGGGTTAAACCTTTTAAGCACGTCGTAAACTTAATAACGGTTTCAACTTCAAAACAGCAACTCAAGTATGCATAAAGAACAAAAAGCTACAACAACATCATAATGTACCAGTATTCTTCGTACACAGCGACAGGATACCTACCTTTACTGTTGTTCTGACAATAATGAGTACACTAATTAAGACTTAATCAAGTGAACCCCAATATTCTCAATTGTTGCGGAATGAGAGAGCAGATGGATATTTTAAAATGTTGGATATTTGGAAAGGGAATTCAAATTTTCCTCCTTATACCAGTTTTGGAAAGCTTAGCAATTCGATCCCAAAATTGGTAGTTCTGGCCATCGGAATCCTGAGAGGGTTGGTTATTGCTGGGCCTTTTTGTTTGGCAAGTTGGATTTAATTCAGAGATTTCTAAAGCCTATATAACATATTGAATAGATTTCTGGGTGAGCAATCTGTATCATAGGATTTCGTGCAATCTAATTATATCATGGGGCCAAGTTCCAAAATGTGCTTTGTAGTCTGGTGATAAGTTATCTGGTTGTCTATAATCTGGATGCATGCAATCAATGCTGGCTGTTTACGACCAGCGTCGTTACCATGACAAAATTTGTTGGATAAATATCTAAAAAGCAACTGAAGGAAGTCCTGGGCATGCTCCAGGGGGCAATTCCCAAGGACGAAAAATTATAGAAAGTCAAAAGCCATACTTTGATAAACACTGGAACACAGGTGATCCAATAGCGTAACAATGCAATTTTAATTAGCCCCTACTATACCATACTGATTTTCTTTTAGGATTCGTATGCATAAATGAATATTTAGGGGATGGAGGAACGCAGCCTTTGGGTAGGCCACTTTCAATTCTTTGTCCATGAAAAAATAATGCAAGAGAAAAGACTGGCTTCCTACAAAACATTTCAAATACATGCATTCTTGGAAAATATGCTAGAAAATTTCAAATTATACTAAAGGGTTGGTCAAAAAGAATATTTGCAATGTCTGGAAATTTTTATCAGGACAGTATGAAAATGAGTGGTCCTAAAATGGATCTAAACTTCACATTGTGGAGAGAAAAAAAAGGCACCCAAGAAATCTACAAAATTGTAAAGTTTCAACATTTTAGGCAACTTTCAACATTTGCATAGGTATTCTTCCTGTCCTAAATTCCGATCTTCTGACTTAGCGGCTCTACTTATGGATATATGGAAATTGAACCCCAACCCTCTTGCAACTGGAAAGCTACAAAACACAGGGTTTAAGTCCATGATAATTAGCCCCCTCTAGAGCATAAATTGTCAAGCATGCAAGCTTTCCCAGGGATTTTCGTGATCAATTACGCCTAAAATGGATCTAGTATCATGCCGTGCAGTAATTTCAGGTGCGCAATGTTTTTGCTTGCCCGGACCCCTAGATGCCTCACGCTGATCACCGCCAATATATCCAACATTCTCCATTGTTACCTGACTTTGTTTGACAATCAGCAGGTCTGCTTTGAATGGCCCTTCTGTTGCCCTGTGCTGTCCAGCTCATTTGCATAATTTTCAGACAGACACACAACAACAACGTCTGGAAAGTAAAGACGCTTGATCGAAAGAGGACAGAGGATAACATCAAAAACATTAACAGGGTTATCCCCATTCGGCATCGCTAGCCATGCCGCGTTCAATATTATACCCTCTGCACTAGTAAAAAGTGTGAAAACACTTGGTTTGACTATCTGACACCAGTAAATTACACTGATAGGCGTAAAAAAATCCAGAGTGCAAATTTTTTAGAGATCTTGAAACGTGATGTTGGAAACACAACATACGCATGCATGTCTGAGGAGTGTCTGATTAGTGACTTTGCGTTGTGTCTAGGGCTTGCAGAGGTCAGGGGTGATTCACAGGACAAACGGACATTTAAAAAGCCGATGCCGAGCCAAGATGCATCGCCAGTGGAGACCTGTGATGGTACTGAAGTGCACGCCTCTACCTCTTGAATGATATCTGCGCCGCTTGGATAAGCTGGATTCATGCTTTTATGATACCCCTGATTAATTGCCCGTACGAATAGGGTATCAGCGGTGGCTAGTTCTTTTTGGATTTTGGAAATACCTGGTGCAGTTGAATAATTCATTTTGTTGGATTTAAAATCGCGGGTGCTTTTCAAGTTCAAAGTCGTTGAGTCCGTAACCTGCACTGTAAGGTTAGCGTGACCGTTAAAAACAACATACGCTTTACTGAACTCCTGAGGGATCACATCAGAACAAGATCCAAAAAATGCAGCAGGGATGGATGTAGCGAAGAATGTTGTTCACATGTCTAAATACACCATTTTAGAAGCAAGAGTTTAGACCAGAAGAAAGACTACTTTCGGCGTAGACGTTCTTTGTCTGTCTAGATCAGTGTTCCGACTTTTCTCGCATACAAAGTACGAAACTCGCATGTGATAAGGCGATACCAAGAAGAGGGGACGTTCTTTCGTGAACTATTGATTTTGAAATATGATGGTTAGCAGCACAAATCAGATTCAAGCAAAGAGGAAGAAGAAATTCACGGGGTAAGGGAGAAATGTTTATCCAAAGAGTCAAGTGAAATTTGAAATTTTTCCAGACAGACAAGCAGCTGTATCGGACCAAGCAAGTGTTGTGTCTAGGTTTTTCGACTGCAGTAGTTTAAACAAGAAATACCATGACCCCGCAAACATAGTTGCTCTTAAGAAAAGATGCCTTTTTGTGGATTTCATGAAAATTGCCATAATTCTTTAGATTTCGCATCAAAATTGATTATGATCAAAAGTAAAGGAGGTCATTTAGCATGGCATGTGGGGTTTGTGTGGGGTAAAACGAAAAGGTCTTTTGAAAATGGCGCCTTCCTTTCAATAAGTTAAATGAGCCTGCATATAAATTTTATAAGAAGTTGGTTTCTTGAAAACAGGGTTTTACTTTGTAGAATGAGATCATCTGGCAAACTAAGATGTAATATCTTTTACTGGAATCTAAGATGTATTTGTTTAAAGATGATGGAAAGGTTTAGGTATTTTTTGACAAAATTTGTTCCAAATAGCATTTTTGATACAGAAATTGGACGAGAAAGGTACATAAAGTTCTAGCTAAAATGTTTTTGACTGATCAAGTATAAGAAAAATTGAGTTAGTATTGGAAACTGGGGCAATAGATATAGGATGGACGTTGTGAGGTTTCTTAGATTCTTGCTTGGCAAAGAACACAGGAAAGCCAAATCTGCAGTATTTTCCAGAAAGAGTTAATGTAAACTTTACCAGAAAATTTCAACATATATAGTGCCCATCAATTGAGACTCTTGCCAGGATAAACCATCCCAAACTTGTAACTAAGCATATTAAATTCCAGATTCGATTTGACTTGAAAACAAAGACCAGCGCCACTGTTTTACATGTTCAGAAATTCCAAATCTTTTTCAAAATTCCAAAGAGTTTATTTTAAGAAAAATGTTAAAATGGTTAGCTGCAGTACTAATACTTTGAAAGTAATTTTCCTGGAACCTTTCAGACAACCAACATAGCGTGATTGACTATCCGTCCCTACCTTTGCATATTTGATTTTCTGAAACCTGAGAAAATGCCTTAGGTTTTGATAACCATACGGCTCTGCTTTGACCAGGAAATGCTAATGAAATTTCGATTGATAAAATCCCTCAAAAAAGGGCTCAGTTTTCATGGATACAGCACTTTCATCAGTCTAAAAATGTTTGTAATTAAAGGTTTGGAAAAGCAAGACCGAAAATCCTTATGGGCCTAATCTCAGCAAAGTCTCGTGCTATGGCGATCTGTTGAGCGGCAGCTTTTATGTATTTGGAAAATGCAAAACTATACTACATAAATAGTCCAATCTTTACCAAATTTTTAGTGAAAATTGGCCATATAGGATAAATGGCATGCGTTTTCTTAAAAAACTAATCGTCGAGTTTAAAAATCTTATGTCTGCGTGTACCAACAGTCTTTGATGTGCCATTGCATTCAAGCATTCTCAGTTACGCATTCTTCACGTTCCTCTACCCAGCTTGTAGTAGAGTGAATAATTTTTGTAAAAAGACAAGGAAAAAAATATAAAATTTAAGACAGAACAAAATTTAAGCATCGCTTTTCTAGATATGGTTACTTTATCTTTCTGTAATCTAACTATAATCTCCGTTTGCAGTGGCAATGCATCCAAAAGGCATCGAGACAGAGTGAACATTGAGTTCAACAATTTAGCCAAACTGCTGCCGTTCCCAGAAAATGTTATTGCCAAATTAGACAAAAGTTCTATTCTTCGGCTTGCTGTCAGCTATATTCGGGCAAAAAGTTTTTTTAAAGGTATGTGTTTAATTTTTTCCATGTAAAGTTTTAACTTAAGATGCAGGTATACACAATTAATCTCTGATATCGTTTACTCAGCAAGTGAAAAAGATTCTAGAAACCAAGAAATAATGAAAATCAGACCCTTGATGTAAATGAATCTTTCAACACTTTGTTTGCTTTATGTTATCGCTAACTCCAGACAACGTTTACTTCATAAAATTGGCCATAAACTTTAAGACTGATAGAAGTTTGAATTATAACCTATCTAGCATTTTGGCTGCCTTGTCGATGATTGATATTTTAAAATTATTTTTAAAGAAATTAGCGTGGGCGATTTTTTTAAGAAACATTTTCTTCAAGCCGTTTCACCAGTTTAAGGTGTTTTTCTGCATTTATGTGAATTGTCTCCGTTTGAACAAGCAATATTGCAAAGCAGGGTAGCACTTCATAGCATAGCCATGTTTTAGGCCAAAAAATATATTTCCAATTTTGGACTTGAAATGATCAATCAAAGTTTTGATACTTTCATTCACGGACCGTTTACATTGCGAAATACGTGGCAAATTATTTCCAATTGGAATGTAATCTTTTTTGCATCCGAAATTATATTGAAAAAATTATTTAATTTGGGTATATGATTGTATGCAAACCAAAAGAATGTTTCTGAAACCTGGGGGTTTTAGCTAAAAACGCTAGCAGGGTAATTTTAAAGCCAGTAGGGTTCTGTAAGTTCTAACTTACTAACCATCAAAACTGAAATTTGAATGCTTCCAGAACTTGGCTCGTGTTTTTTAGTAAATGCGCAAGTTAGATCAGTATGGTTTTTAGAGTATTATTGTGCGGACATGGTACTGTTATGTATATGACTTCTTCACTGGCAAGAAAGCCTATTTGCAATCCCGACTTCATATCCTTATATTACCCAATTTCAAATCATTTTCAGGTCCAAGATCCATTCATACTGTACCATTTTCATATCAAACTTGCTAATTCATTTGAGCTTTAAGATTTAATTCAACAGGAATAGCTTTGGTTATTCTTTCAAATGTTTATATTTTTTCGCAAGAAACTTTGCTTAAATCTTGTTGCATGATCCATCAAATTCAGGGACATTCATTGCAGTCAAAATCACTTAGAAACTAACATAAATACTATTTTACCGAAAAGCACCGAACATAGCAAATTTAGTACCAAGATATGTTATAGTATATAGAAATTTCCTATACGCATCATAAACCAAATTGAAAGGCAAATGGGTTGAAGTTTAATGTAAAAACATTCCCCAATGTTAATTCCAATTCCTCAAAGAAGTTTTTTAGCTAAAAAGCAAAGATTGCTAGATTTTGTTATTGCTTTTTTAGCTAATACAAAGTTGTTGACATTTGGGCGACGCTGTTCAAACTAAGGGCGCGGTTATCTTAATATTCAACTTAACGTACCCTTTTTATAAGAACCAGTAAATTTAAGTTCAGGCTGACTGTTCTTAATTTTTTCGAAAATCTGAGGCTGGATTGTTCTTAATTTGTTCTTTGAAATAATAGGGTGTTAGCAGTGAAATTCCTAACTTTTTCGCTCTGGGGAGGTGTTAGGCCTCATTTGCCAACAAAGTGAGTGAGACAACCTTCATTTGCCGATTAGTTTGAATATTCACCGAAAAAGCACCCACACATGGCTAAAAATCCTCATTTCTGAGATGAAACGTTGTTCAAAATAGCTTTTACAGTAGCTCAGCCTCAGTTTGTTCTTCATTTGTTCCTAACTTTTGACAAATTTTGAGGCTCGTGTTCTTGTACAATTGTTTTTATAAAAAAAGTGTATACAGCTCAAGAACTTTAGCAGAATGGCCTTGCTCCCTTCCTCTATTCCTTGGGAATTCACAGTCAAAAATCAGGCTGCTTTTTTTCAGACAAACAAGGATTCTTTCCTGTCAGCGAATCACTCAATTCCACGTGTACAACTATGCTCCAGCGGCGGGCGGAATCTCAAATTAGGTTTCCTGCCTTTTTTGAGCAGCTACATATCACAAACAGTTGATATGGAAAAACAGCCAAAAACCTAACTTTCAAATGCCTTTTTTGATGAAACAAGTTACTGGAGCATTCCGCTTGTATCATCACTGCGTTTTATATCTAAAAGATATTTGAAAACATCTGCAAAAATACTTTCGATCTTGCTTTCAAGATATAGCAAAAGTCGGTAAAAAATTTATTCTGCAAATACTTATTAATAATTAGTACATATTCAGATATTTTTAAAGGATTGGGTTTTAATATCAAGTTGATGCCAAGTGCTTCTGCAAACTTCGCAAAAAAGCAAATAGATGGTATATTTACAACTGGAAGTTTTCCAAATTTTGTTCTCCCTGCGATAAAATGAGAAAAATTGCTATTATACTTTGTTTTTTTCTAAATTCAGGATATAGCCATGTGAAAAACACATATTAACAATGGGGAATACTAGCGTTTTTAGTCTGTCGGTTGTAATTTTTTTCCCTAACACCCAATGGTTTTTTGTTTAATTCTCGCGAGCTGTTTCTTGATTTAAAAAAATTGTTCAGGTGTTCTTTACCTGCTGCCCACACCTATAAATACAGGTCTTTTTAAGACCCACTTCACTTTTTACACCGTTATCCTTGGTTTTCAATTTTCGCTAAAAGTTTTTGATATATTAAAAGAAAGATTGTACTCCATTTTATATAATCATCTGCCACTGAATAGAATTCATTTATAAGTAATTTGTTCATTTTTGTATTTTCTTTAATAGGTTAATATCAGTTTTATTTTTCCAGACTGAGATTCATAAATATTTTGGAAAGGCTTTTTAAAAGGTAAAAATGGTCTTGAAATGTGAAATTCGAGATCTTCCACTAAAATATTAATGTCTATAAACGACAGATAATATAGAAATGTTTCATATCTAACAATTACTTGCTCTTATAATGAATTTTCGTTAATGGGTTGATTTTGATTATAATTTTGCAGAATAAGATTTATCGATGTTATGCAAGGGCTTATAAAAGATGAAATTGGTCTTAACATTTTAAAAAGCTCGCAGAACACTAAAAGACAAGTCCAAAAGTTTCACAGATGAGCTCGAAGCTCAAACCAGATTATTTTTCTTCGATTCTTTCCATTCTGCAGCTGTAAAAATGTCAGCTGTCGCCTGGTTTTCTCTTCTTAATATGCCAAATGTTGTGCGATCAAGGGATAGTTGGTTGCAATACCAAGTTACCTAACCGACCAATGTCTTTATCATAAATTTTGATTTTGAAATCGCTCATTGATGTTTGGTTTCAGACGTCTTTAGAAAAATCAATAAATTCATTCCTAGACTAGCCTATATTATATAAAGCTTCTGACTGACTGTTAAAATACTTTTTTCAGAGATGGTCTGATATTGAAAAAAAGAATGCTAGCTTGATGACATATCTTAGAAAATACGATTTTTAATAAGAATCACACAACTAATTCAATTGTTTATGATATATAACGCATAGTTTTGATTTATCGAGTACGTTCCAATACAAAATCATACGATATCTAATAAAAACATTATCAAAAATGTCACCCAAAAAGTGGTCCCTAATGCTTCAATTTTCCAGAGCAGTTCAAATCATTACAGGGTTTGCACCAATGCACCAGTTAATAAGCCTGAAGGATACACGTTTTGATCTTTATTGGTATAAACTTTTAAGGATTATTGCCAATTTGACGTTTCTGGTGGGGTTGAGTATCACAATAGCCCCGGCTCAATCCGGGCGGGCCCTGTCAGTTGGTCGAACGTATATCATATGAGTTCCGAAAAACTCTGAGAGAGGGTTGTTTGAAAGCTAGAATTCTGAGACATAGAATCTTGAAAATAGGGTTGCTTTTTTACCAAGTCTGAGAAACAACAGTAAAGGTACTAGGAACTTACTGATAATGTAACAGATAATTTTTGTGGTACTATTGAAATACCACGTGCTGACCATGAATTTTGCAGAAGCATGGCCTAGATAAGAAATTTAAATATTTGCTAGTTTGCACTCCTTGCAGGGTATTATTTAGAATTAGACACAACTTTTTCATTTTTCATAAAAAACATTTAATACAATGTGATGTGGTGCATTTATAGTTTTACAACTGTCTTGTTTCGTTTATTTATATCAAGAACCTTTAGGAATCGCTCTTAAAATCAAATTTTGTGAATTCTGCTCTTTAATTTACCTTTTTACATAGGTTTAAGAAATAGAATGGTGCTTACATGAATTGGCTTCAAAAATATTTTCCGGCATAAAGTTTCCTCAAGTTACTGTCAGGCCAAACATATTTTTTGCTCTCTTGTTTTTTCCTAGAATTGAATTTATTTGATAATCAAAATTTTCTCTAATCTTTGAAGCTAGCTTTGATTATTAAATAAAAAATTTTTAAATCTAAACCCAATTTTGAACCTAAGTTCGGAACTCAAATTTTAGGCGAGGCACGCGAAGTATTTGGGCGTGTAAATCTCAGACACGGTCCCGAAATCACAAAATTTAACAAGAGTTGCCCCGTCAGGTAGACACTAGTCTTAAAAAGATGTTATTTTTTCTACGTTGGCCGGCCTGAGTATGCTTGGGTGGTTGTGAGTTAAACTGGGGCAAATTTTATGAGTCATTCAATTCATCGACAAAAGACGATCGGCCTGTTTGGCACGGCAGTTTGCGTGATCAAGCAGAGAGAGTCGCTGACCCGTACGAGCATGTATCACAATTATCAAAAAGCGGGAAGGAGTTTCATTCGAAGAATTTTAATTGTCCATATAACACTTACGCGCTTCACTTACGTTTTTAGTTTAATAGTTCAAATATACCGTGAGAAATATCGAAATATTCCAGCCTTTTCTAAGGGAATCACCAGTTTCAAGGCGGCAAATTTATGGCTTGCTGTGACACTAATCAAACTAGAATTTTGCTGGAGGCAGATGTTTTTATTCTTACCAGGCCTTAAGTACATCAGAACCAAAGCAAATAAGTCTAATTTTGCAAAAACAAAGGTAGTAGTGAAGTGATTTCGAAATGTTAGACGGAAAGATTTACATATAACGGCAAGATTTGTGTGACTGACCAATAGGCCGACAGCACTTAGACACAACAAGTGTCTGGAATTTATGCAAATTTATATTGCTGTCTGAAACGCGATAACGTTCTACACGAAATACAGCGACCCTTGACCTCAGTCGGGCCAGCGCTCATCGCAACGATCTTTTTAACTTCAGGAAGTATTTATCCACGGACACTGCAAGTCGTGAAAGCGATTCCAGTCATATATTTTCAATGCTTTGCGAGATTTTTACGTTTCTTTAGAAAATGTAAAAATTTATTGTATTTATGTAAAAAATAAATAGGACACCTTTGTATATCCTTCAATGCAAGATACAAAGCAGGGGGGGGGGCAAAGATAAAATAAAACCTATAGCAAGAGATTTTGCAATGAGGTCTTTTGTTTTGCAAGAAAGAGGGGGAGAAGGGGCTTACTGAGACCCAGCCATCCTGGTAGAATCGAGGGGGTGGTCGAGAATCTGACATGCCATTATTGTTATAGTTTAGAAATTCCAGTTAATAAAAGTGCATCAGCTGATAAAGAAGGGCATGTTCACGCTACCAAAGATAGAAAAGAGGAAGAGTAAAATGGAGGCTGACCACCCCCCTTTATTTTCTCGCTTCGAATTCGGCACAGAATTTTCTTTGTTGCGTAATGTAAGGAAAAGTTTTACTATAGAATGGCTCTTAAAAAATCCATGTATGATTTTCGATTTTTTAAAATCTATGCAGAGTGCTTGCGCAGAGAATGGTTTTACGGGCAGATCCTAGCATTTTTGACTTTTTTTTATTAATACAGTCACTGCAAGACGGTTTGTTTGTTCACTTAAAGCAGGCAAGGTAGATTGGATAACAGAGTGGTATTTCCTCGTGCAATCTCACGTAAAGATTTGAATTTACTGATGTGAATTATCAAAAACATGCAATTTCCTAAGACTCTGCTACATAAGTATGTAGTCCGAATTCACTCCGAGAATACACCCTGTTCAGTCTTTTACTTTTTCATCTTTGCCATACTTTCATCTCTGCCTTTTTCCAGCCTTATCCCTTTTCCACCCCTGTCTCTTTTCCATCCCTGTCTCTTTCCACAAAGTAACAGTCTGCCTGTTTGCTTTTCTTTTGCTATCCTCGTCGCCAGTGCTAGGGAAACACACCCAGCAATCTTCTCTTTATGAAATACAGTGCAAGAAAGGCTCATAGTCCCCCCCCCCTTTGTTAATGCAGGAAAAAGACGAATTTTTTACTAGTTTTTATCTTATATTCTTAGATTATTCTGTTATTATTTGTTATTCTGTTATTATAAAAGTTTTCTGGTGTTCTAAATTAACAACTTTTCCACACCAACCTTGTGCATTTCAACGACGTCTTCCTGTTAATTAACGAACTAATTATTTTGCAGATGCTCTTCCCGTTGATCAGGAAGGTTTGCTGAATGGAAAACGAGACTCCCAAAACAGAAACGAGATTTACAAAGGACTGCTGGAAGAGACCTGTTTAACGGAATTCTTTCTCCAGGTTTGTTGATCTGCTTGTCGATTTTGCTGCTGAAACGGTTGTATTTGTAAACCATCGAGCTTCGATGGTGAATCCATTTAGTCTTGTAAAAGCTGCTTCGCTTTAGGAAATAAATCCAATTGCTTTTTTGGCTTTCATTGCCAATGATACCACGGTGGTAAAAAATATGGTCCATGTTGATTGAAAAATGTTCAGTTTTAGCACTGTAACTGCAATAAAGAGAAAGTGGAGTTCACAGGAGAAACCTTGTTTCTACGTTAAAATACCTAGACCCCTCTGATATTATACAAATCTTTGGGTTGACCAGATCAAGGTCTCCCCCCCCCCCAACTCCCATTAAAAGTCCAAATCTTAAGTCTAATGACATTCATAAGAAACTGAAGCTGAATATTTGCAATTATAAAATAGGTTTTTTGGTTTGAAAAACAGATCACGATTCGAACATGTCGCGTTTTATCAATACACGATGTGTTCCTTCAATCTACACGTTAAAAACCCTGTTGGTGCCATGAAACGAGGCTGTCTTCCCGTCGACCATGCATTTAGCAGATTGTATGGCGTACTTGGGTTCATTGACCAGAAAACGTTCTTTTCAATTGAGACCGATAATAGTAAACAATTTCGGCCCCTGTTGAGTTTGCTTTCAAAGCGGATCGTAAAACCTATGGTTCGTGCATACACCTTCACAATTTGCTAGTACCTTTCAAATATTTGTGTAAATTGTACCAACTTTATCAAGAAAATGTTTGCTGGTTTCATCGTAATTTACCCTGAAACTATCATTTTGATCAGGCACTATTTTAATAGTCAAAACAAAAGGTCCTGATGTACGATCCAGACAATTGCTTATTACTGGTATCCACAATAACAAACCAGGTAGGCCTTCCCATCACCTGTCATGCTTGTATTGTCTAGTGCTTGCCATCGAGCTACTCTGTTTTATCTCGTGTGGGATAGACAGAGGTGTGAAGCTATAGCAAGAACTAGGGGAGAGTCTCTCAATGTACCACAGAAAGAACAGCGGAGTTATAGCAACAACTAGGGGAGAGTCTCTCAATGTATCACAGAAATAATAGCATCAGAAAAGGAGGCTGAGTCCCAAGCCAACACCTTGAGTCCCATACATTTACTAGACCAGAGTATACTATGGATAAGCTCTTTTGATCAGTTTAAGAAGTTCCCTTTCTTATATCTCCCTCCAATCCAAGGGGTCTTTGCAAGGAAGTCGTCCGAAGGCAGCAACGCGCGTGGCTATCCTTATAATACTGTCAAGCAACTCTTCTGTATTTTAAAATGATAATTGATGCTCTTCTCTTTTAAGTACTTTTTCGGATAAGCTAACAGATAATAATAATCAGTGAGCTGCCGGATTTTAATAACAGATGATTTGTACCCCCAAATTTTTATGCGAATTTCAAAATGTAAAATCCAGGCAATTCTCACCTGATTCGTTTGTCAATAAATCAGCATACCATCCCATTCGTAAAAGGTGACCCTCAATGCAAAGTTGAATGTTGGATCATGATTTCCCATTCTTTCTATAAATATTGATATACTTGTACAGAAAATGTTGGAGCTCAGTGGTTACACGTAGCTTTAAAAAGAGGTCTTGTTTAAGGTATCTCAGTATATGAATAGTCGAGACTTCGTAAAAAGGAGACATTTCCTTTTGGATTCAAAAGCCTTACTTTGCAAGCCTGAGATTTACTTCGGGATTTTAACTTCTTGCAAATCTCAGATGTCGGGACTTCCCTGTTACAATTTCAGGGTAGTTAATTGTAAGGGAAAGACTTCTTGCATCCCAGTCCAAGGAACCTCTTTTTCGTAATTTACACTTCTTGCAGAACCTAGTTTTCTGCTGTTTTTTTATTTTGTATCATTGCTGTTGTATCATTTCTAGAATTTTGAACTCAAACTGCACATTCAAGAATGACCTGAGGGCTAAAGGTTTAAAACTCTTGAAACATCTTGCGACGGATGATAATATCGATGTTATATAACAGTCGCAATATCATGTCTTTTTTCATTATGGTCTATCATCGTGTAAAAAAGAAATTGTTGGTGAAACTAAATTCCGTATTTCAACAGTACTTTTTCTATATGCTATGAACATGTGATCGTCTGCCGTTGTTTCAGCTTTACGAGAAATTCAACTTACTCATAAAGTTTATATCACAACCTTATTGCAATGAAAATTTATGAAAATTACTGTTTACATGTCTTTCATAAAGTGTTTGATGCCGTATTGGCAGAGCTGTACACGATTTTGGTGTATTGAACAGGACGGTTCTAAATTGCTACTCCGAGTTGCTACAACCTCATTGTTTATAAAAACGTAGACCAGTGACCATTTATGCTAATTGCTTTTTGTTCTTTCTAGGCTTTAGATGGGTTCTTGATCGTTATCACTGAAGATCTCAAAGTCCTTTATGTTTCTGAATCTGTCCGAGACTATTTAGGATATTGTCAGGTATTTTCAAATTATTACACTGCATTTTTATACGTGTTCTTTTAAACTTGTCTAGAGGTTTACCTTTATCTAACTTTTCAATTTTTTCTATCTTGTTTTCTTACATCTTTCTGTATGTCGTTTTTTATTCATTGTTCTTTTTTCTCTTTTGTTGTTTGTTTCGTTCCTTTTTTCTGTTTTCTCTTCACATTTCGTTTATATCTGTCTCCAATACTTCTCGTCTTCTCTTTGTTCGCTCTTTCTCTTTCGTCGCAAGCCCTTTTTTCTTCTTAAAAAAGCAATTGTTATATGATTTATATCATTTTCCATCATTTATTTGTTTTGTTGCGTAACACGATTTTCTCAAATTGAAAATCCTTTCCTTTATTTAAGGCTGGCATTATACACGAATCCTTTCTTCAGTTTATTCACTGGGCAGATGAGGAAAATGTGAAAAAAGTTTTGAAAGTTGACGCATCTACAAATGGTTTGATAGAGAGCGATAGAAATCAAGGGAAAAAGGTGACATGTTTTACCTTCTTCGTCTAGCCTTTGGAAAATGAGCGTTCTGCTTTTCTTTTTCCTTATTTCTAAGAGCTATTTCTAAAACACTTCTCGCCACTCTTAGGCATGTTTCTTGTCGCATCATACCTAAATGTATCATTTTACATCAAGCCACTGCATTTTGAAATTATTTTAATGAATTTAGGTTTTTTTGGAATTATGAACACTTTTTATTGAATTGCATTATTAGATAAAACAGAAATCCATTGAAGTGAATAGGGAACCGTCACATTCTTTTTGATTTATTGTAGATGAATCAAAGGGACTCTGCTGAAGACTTAACTGGAATTTGTGGCGACTCGAGTAAGCCAATCTTTGCTTTTACGTGGAACTATTTTAAATATGGCACCTGTAAATGATCGCGTACTCTTGTTAACAACAGGATCGATAAAAAATTTCAGATTTTGCAATGATCTTTGAGAATTTCGTTAACTTTTAAAGACCTCAACAGTTTTTGTAAATTTTAGACTTAGGATCTTAGTGTCTCCAAATTTGGAAAGTTTATTTGTTTCTTTGCAGATTCCAACTCTCGCGTGCAGAGCCGTCGATTCGTTTGCCGAATGAAATGTGCTTTCAGTTGTAGCAGTCGGTTTTACACAGCTTTTCAGGTAAGAACACCCAAATTTTTATTTGATAATATCTTGAATATAACAAGAAAGACAAGTTGAAATGTTTATATATTTCTTTAAGAGAGAGAGTTACGGCCAATCCTCGATTTTGCCTGAAGAATCCTTTGTTTGAAACTTATTCATTGGTATAAAGCAAATTTAATATCTTTTTAAACAGCTTTATGGGATTAATGTCCAAAAAACAGTGTAAACGGATTGTTATGAGGGTATTTGAAAGGTAATAAACCAAGGTAGGTGTAGTCAATGAATTGATTACTCTCCTGAAAATTTCATCTATATTCTACTTAAAAAATGGCTGCCATACGATTCCAGTCGAAATGTCGGCTATTTATATTCGTGCCATAAGTTCCTTCAAACATTGCACCATGAACAGAGCCATAATCAGGCAATGATTGGCGAACCATTGTGGCTAAATGTATCGAAGCATTTAATGCCTTTCTAGGCTTACAAAGGCTGTCACCATTCTTTGTAAACTACACTGGATTTTTTAGAATTTGAACAACAAGACGTTCCCTCTTCCCCTCCAATATTGTTTTTTCGATGTTCAGATTTTCAGTTCTGTCTGGTTTCTTTCTGTAAGAAGCTGAATTTATGTTAGCAAATTCATCTGGGACAAAAAGAATCAGAACTTTGCATCTTTACGGAGAGGATATGTTTTCAAATCATTACCTTTTGCAAATAATTTATCTCTGGAAGGCGTTTCAAATGTTTGCGTTTTCACTCACAGAATGATTGTTGTCGCGTAAATGAGAGGAAAACACGTAAGAAAATGATTGTGTTTTCATTTGAAAACGTAATTCTTGTCGACGGGCCTATTAATCCATCAATTTTATTATTTTCAATGTTTATATACGATTGCTTTATAAACTTGTTGCCATTATTTCAGGCTTTTCAATTCAGTGGACATGTCAGGCGCTCTACAATTCAAGAAGGCAAGGAACAAAGAACATTGAACACATTAATAGCTTTTGGTAGCCCATCAGCTAATTCGAGATTTGATCCTACGGAACTTGTTTCTGACACCTACGATGAGACACGTTCTTGCCCAGAAGACGAGCCTAATGGGTGAGTTACTGTTTTGACACTTTTGATATGATATTTCATTGAAATATCCTAACCGAGCCTGTTGGAATGTTACTTAATACTGGTGGAATAGTAATAAACAGTGTAAAACTATAAGATAGTATCACGTTTGAAAATATGCCTGATACTATTAAGCATGGTATGACAATATAGTTTTCAATGTTTCACTCCCATCGTAGAACCTTTCAAATGGGTTATTTTGTGGGATTTTTATCAACTTACTTAAATGTGTACTTTGTTACTAAAAGGTCTCATTACTTTAGACATTCTGGATTTTCCTGGCAGCACAACAACGGTAGACAAAAAAATAAACCTTTTCTAGGTAACAGGATTCATGTGTGCAAAACTTTCTCTTTCAACAATAGCAATATTTCGTGTAAATTTAACAACCTCTTTAAAAGAGAACAGCCTTCTTCAAGTGCAGCTGCCCTCCTCAAATGATAACCTGGAGTATCTATACTTGTGTCGTTTGTTGTTGTCAAAGACCTGAATCTTTCGTCATTAAATTTTCTTTTAGACCAAACGTAAAAATGGTGGGTCTTCATATTGAGCCACGTTTGCGGCCTCATATTGCGCCAATACCTATTCCCCAAAGCGAGACTGATGGCAGGATGGTAAACCAAACGCAACCTTATCCTTACAACCGACATTTCGGATTAAACGGACGCATTGACCCGTCATGCAGTGCCGGCCTTGATGCTCGGGTTGGGTCAACATACCCCCGGATTATAAACGATTACTACAGAGAAGGACCTGTTAGGTACACAAATGGCTGGGTGCCCCGCTCCTCCAGCCTTTCTAACTCGCCTATATCTGACGCGAGTTCACCTCGCGGAATAAAACGCTCTGCTAGTGCAGATGCGAGTCCAGAGAATTGTGACGTCATCAATGGAAGGAAACAACCTCGGTACGATGGTCAAATTTTTAGCAAGAATCAAAATGGGTAAGTCTCAATGTTCGTCTTCATATTGAAAGATGCATGTCAAAATTTATTGTTTTATGCGGTCTGTTTATTTTTACTCCAATGTCTGTTTTTAAGGCTTCGTACATAAGTGACAGGCACTTTCGAGAAGTTCTACCTGTTGTACTCTATGTATCTGTTTTTCTAAAAGATCTATCCGAACATTTCAGTGAAAATGTTGCTCAAAGTGTCTATTGAAGAAGAGTTTACTTCGTTAGTTTGTGCATGGGTATACATTGCTTTTTTATTTATGTACAGGATAAATTGTTGCAATCTAGTGACAATTAATGTAGTTTTTATTCAATTGCTCATTGGCCATTAGGTAGGACATTGCTATACTTAGATCTTAAGCTGTTATTTCCTGTAAATTGGTAATGATCATGTGTGAAGAAATACGTCTGTGACGCTGTGGAACGGACTCTCTAAAATTCGAGTTAAAATTCCTTCTTTCCCAACATCTGCTTTAAAAATACGCAATATTTTCTTATAGATATAACTGTCCGCCATCAGATGACATTCACTCGAGTGCAAAGATTTTAATGCAGCTAAAAGAAACTCAAAAAAAGCTGGTGGATAAGTTTTATTCGGCAAATGATAGTGAATCTGACTCAAGTTGTGACGATCGGAGTGAGAGAGGCGGCCACATTCAATGGGAGCATGATGTAAATACCGATGATCAACGAGGCATTCCCAGGTTCTTGATAGACAGAAAGCAATACCCAGAGAACAATGGTAGGACTTATTACGGCAGCAATGGCTTTGTACACGGTACGAGTCGGCGGTTCTCAGATAGTTTGAGCGCCAATGCGCATGAGCTCGCTTTTCGGAAGAGGTCTGAAGGTATTCGTGGCGTAGATGGCGAGAATTTGTTTCACAGGTCGTCCGCCAGAGATGAAATGGCAGAAGAAATACTGCAGTCAAAGTTTTTACCATCAAGATTCACGAATCTAAGATCTTTCTCGTCTGAGCCTTTTCAAGCTACCGATTCGTCATCAAAAGACTCAAAGTCGTTTATATTTTCGCGAATCGCCGCGATGAATGGCCTTTCTTCAAAGACGGCAAGCTCGCCATCAAGGTTGTCACCTCCAAAGAGGGACTTGAATAAAGGATTTCACATCAGCACAATTCTTGGCTTGAAAGACGAAGTAGGGAAAGACAGAGTTGCCGGTCAACTTATGCGTGACTCCTTGAATAAAAATGTCCAGGAAGAGGCTACTCAAACAGAACTGCAAAGTGAGGCAGAGCAGAGCGAAGGAGAAAAAGTTGTGATCAGTAAACATGTTGCTAATATTGATGACGTCAAGAGCTCCTTCGCACAAGTACTGCAGGTTTTTACTGCTACAATCACCAGAACGATCGACACTATACTAAAGCCTTGAACGCACATTGAGGCACACGACGATTCGAAGCATGACATGTTGCTAAATTTATTCACAAAAATTTTGCACATGTTGGACATCGTTTTGGGTTATTACTAGCACATTCTCAAGATTGTTAAATGGAAAACTGTACAGCATGAGGACTCTCCAAGCGACAAAACCCGCGAGACATTTCTTCTCTTGGGGGGGGTGGGGGCATGGTTAAGGCGGGTTTTGGAAACATGTAACGAATTACGCCAGCTGTGTTTTTGAGAAAATTTTACTTAGAGTAATTTTCAAGCGTTTTCTTATTGTAAATTTTGTCTTTTACCATCCAGTGATTTTTTAAAGTATAAATTCACAAACAACCGGATACAGGACACCCATGATTTTCGACAAAGCATCTCGCTAGTCGAGATTGAAATGCTAATATGACGGGAAAGATGATTCTTGATAAGTTCCAACGAATGTTTCTATTTCCTTGTAAATGTCAAGTGAAAATTGATTTTATTTTGTATTCAAACCAGTGAGATTATATGCACAGACTTACACATATTCGCAGACAAAAGGCTAATACACACACTACTTTAGTCTAAATTAGATCAATGTAATTAAATGTTTGCAAACTATTTATTTGACAATGATTAATCACTTTCGTAAGAAGAAATATCCACGTGCAGCCTCGGATCAGCCCAGTATCAGAAATCAGCTTCGAGGCAGGTTCCTTGGTTCATTTTGATCGCATTTTTTATCAGTATGTTCGCATCTAGGACGTTTTCTTCTTACGAAAATGAATGTACGATATATTTCAGGCATACATACGTCGATTAGTTGATATTCCTTGGCTGTGTTGATTTTTCAAGGACCTCTATGCAATTTTCGTTTTATTTTTATCTGTTAGAGAATCTTCTTGCTCCTTTCATGGAATGTTCTTCTTCGTTAGTGTTAATCATGTTTTTCTGTTCAATTTAAGATAACCAAGGGTAGAAAGAAGCTACAAGACAGGTTCAAGCTTTTTATTATCTATAAAAACATAGACATAATAGTGATGCCAGTTCTGAAAAAAAATGTTCATCAGTTTTCTCGTTTACCTTTGAGACAAAAACGCTTAAACATATAACTGAGAACCGATTTTCTATTCAACTAAAGTGGCTGGTATCAAACTACACTTCATTTTCCGTTTTACCTGTTCACAAATAACTTAGCCTTTGTCCCCTTGTCATACCCCACTGCTTATATACATCCCAACCCCATCCCACTCATTTCTTTAAACTTAAGAGTAAGGTCTCGTGTACATTTCGAGCGTTGCGATTGACACTTCTTCGAAAGAGATTTAAATGCCTGTAAAAGAATTTAAAAGTAGACGGGCTTGGTTCTTCGACATTATTTCTTTATAAAATCCTTTTTTCCTTCTCATTATTGTCAGACACTTTCCTTCTCAAACATCGAATGCCAGAACTGTTCGATTTAATTCAGTGCAAGCTCAGAATCCTTGTCTTGTAGCTTTACAAACCGAAATTTAACCGGGTTTTTTTCTCATTGAAAATGCTGTCGTGTATCCATTCGTTTGAAAGCTCTCGAATTTAGGTGAGCTGTAAAAATTCTTCATGCCATCTTTAAAATGTTGGTAATTATGTATAGAATTCGTTAGACGTAGATATTAGAGTCTGAAATTAGAATGAAGCTGCATTTTAGAGTTTTTATGTTCTCAATCTTGTCGTAACCACATCTCAACGTGGATTCATTGCTACATGTTTCTACAATCTATCTACATGTTTTATTGTTCTAGAAGTATCTACATGTTTTATTGTTCTTTTCGTGGCTGTTTCAGTGCTTTTGCTACAATTTCAAAATATTTAATGATTTTGCAAACAGAGTTGAAAGAGGCCTAGTTTAGCTTGGGAAACTGACACCTGTTAGCAAATGCTCAAATGTTTCAAAAAGCCCTTTCCCATGAACAGGAGAAGAAATAAAGATATGAATTCGCAGTGCCCTGTATCACATGAAAATTGCTTTTTGCTCTTTATGGTGAATGATAGCGCCGATTTATTAATAATTATAGAATAATTCTTTCTTTTATAAGTAATCGAGGGTATCTTTGTGGAAGTAGTAGATAGAATTTGGCTCCAGAAACAAAAGAGCCTTAAAGGCAAGACTTTAAAGCAACCACCCGAGGAGGAACAGTTTTTTAATGATGCGAACATAGCTAAAGGCGAGACTCCTTTGCCATTATAATGAAGTCCTTCGCTTCCTTCTGGACGCCTTTAGTTCAATGACATGGCAATATTATTTGAAACACGCCAGCAGAAGCAACAACGCAAGGCGCACATACCAGTACTAATGTTTTCGAGCTTTTCCCTTGTTTTTAAGAGCTTTTGATTTCTAGTTTTGACGCAACACAATTTGACTTTCAAGCGGAGGAAGAGCCAATTATTTGAATTTCTCGGCTGTTTGCATCGGGTATTTTCAAACACATATGAAAAGAAGTGGCCTTAAACAGTCCCCTTGAAGAGCTCCCAACTTAACGGGTATGGTTAATGTACCAAGATGATTTGTAATGAATAGGTTTTACTGGTAGCATGACTGCCAATGACATATTGATGGTACGCAAGGAAAGGAGAAATCACGTTAAGATCTACCTTGTTGATGATGTTCTTCACCTCTAGCAGTGTTATACAAGGTGGGAACATTTTTAAAAATGTTAAAAACCCTATTTGTATTTTACCTTTATGTCAGTGATGAAAACAATTGTTAATCTAGGCCAGTTAAGAAGCGAAACATAAAGTCCCATGTGATAGGAAATAGGTCTGGATGGATGATGTTTCGTTCAAGTTTATTTCCATATCATGGTGATTTGAAAGCGGAGCACAATGCTCTCTACTTGTTGTCTTTTCTGTCCAATTTTTTGTTCTTTTTGGCCAGCTTTTAGTAAAACTTTTTGTCTTCTAAGTAGAAAATTGAGCATTGGAAGTAAAATTCGGCTTTTTCGCTTCATTTTGAATTTCGCAGCACGAAATGCATTCTGGTTTTTACCATTCAGTTAATTATCTAAATAATATTACTGTTTCCAGCAAGAATAAATATTGCAACGATAAATGAAAATGGGAAAACATGATAATCATGGTAGAACCAATAATGACAGAAATAACAATTGACATATAAAAAAAATATACTTAATAAAGATTTAAAACCGATTATAAAATTAGTTACATGGTATGTAGCTAAAGCAAATAAATTGTAATGAACCAAGTCAAAAGATTGTTAATTTTTTTCATAAAGCTACGTTATAAAAATACTTCACACTATAATAAAAAGACATTATAAAAAAAATGAAATATTCCCTACAACAGCAATTGCTCATATTTTACACAGAACCTTGCTTTTTGGTTTTTGCTACGAATTATGGGACATTACAGCACTGCAATCATCCTCCATACCGTTCAGTCGACAAAACAGCGAAGGTGCTATATTGGTTTAAGGTAAGAAAATTGTCCCCCGATTCCTCTCCACCCTTTCTCATTCCCTCGACCAACCTTCCACCACCTGCGGTTTAATGTTAATATCACTCCTTTGAAATATATACGCCCAGAATTTAGATGGATCTCCCGTAATTGCTACTGTGTCAATAGCCAAGTAACCGAAAGCCAATTTATTTCTTTGATTTTATATTTTAGCAAGCAAAACAGGCTGGAAGTTTCCCAGGGTTATCAATGATGACGACCAATCAAAGAAGATCGCAACATTTTGGAAAAGAAACACTGGATTTATCCCCTCGAGTCTTCTTAACTGCAAGGTAAGCTGCTTGTTCAGGCTTTGAATATTTTATAGCAGTAAATGTTGAATTATATATGGAATGTATTCGACCATTCCCAGTTAATTAGATATTCTGAAAGACTACAGAATTATCAATTATATAACCAATGATTTTCCCTCCTCTTTAACAGTCCCATCTTTCAGCACTGAATAGATTCAACTTTTCTTTAGCACAAAATGATTGCCTGTCATAAGACTGTGCAATCAAATCACACAACATTCAATCTTTCTATAGCATAAAATGATTGCCAGGGGCGGCGATGGCCCCAAAATAGTGGGATGGGCAATGAAGGGGTGGAGCTGATAAAGGGGTCTGGGTGAGAAACTGGTGCAGCACCGTACGAGAAAGCACGCTCGTTACTGATAACCAAGTTTTGATATATTTTGAAATCCTCAATAGAAGAGTTAAATTTCATAGGTTTACCTACATAAAAGTTAGTAACATAAAAGTTAATTTCAGAGTGGTATTTTGTAGCTAGATAGAACGGTTTTAAACTTATTAATGAGGCTTCCTTTGTCTATTTTATCTGCCATATCTCGATCAATTGTAATTTGAACTAGGTTTCCCAACCTTTCGTCAGACATTTGAGGCTAAAAGGTGATGCAGCTGTAACAGGTCGGGCCACAACTTTTTATCCTTACAGCTTATAAAAGTTTGGGTACTAGTTTTACAGTTGATTATTGCCAAAAACCTTTAACAAGGAAGGAAGACAAGGACCACACTCTAAGAATCAACTGTTTAGCAGGATAAAGCTGGGTTTTATAGATCATCTTCATTTTAGTTTCTCACTATTTACGGAACTGATGATCCAACACATCATACTCCATGTCAGCTAAGATCTGACAAAGAACCGTCACTGACCATCAAAATGAAAAAGAGTTTTGTTTTCAGAGAAGAAAACTAACATCCCCTTTATTTTTTAATCCAGTTCTGGAAAAATTAGAAAGTCGATCTTAAGAAAAGTGGGGTAAACATGTCCACCCCAGGCCACCCCGTGGCGCCGCCCCTGCGTATAAGTCGCCACCCTATGCGTCACAGAGTTAAAGATTGAAAAAAATTTCGAGTAGGCAATATTTTGGAAAGGAAATCCTTTAAAATGCATGATTACTGACACTCTGTTGATAAATGAAATGAAAATTATTCTCCAGGCCATGAATTTCCTAAATATTATCTTTTATCCGCAAAAAGATGGAAAAACATAGAAAACAGTAAAGAATGAAGATTATCTCCCGCCAAATCTTGAAATTCATTTAAACTTTTATAATGTTAGTCTCTTTCTGAGAATTACTCTGTTTTTAGCTAAAATTTATGATGCTCTCAATTTTTGAAGAGCTGTTAAAAAGCATTTTACGCTTGTATGTTGAACTTAAACAGATACTTTAGAAAGTTTTGAAATTTTTGAATCTGACAGAAAGATTAATAACGCCCGTGATAAAGAACGGGTAATTTTAACATTTAACCAGGAAATAAGTCAACCTTTTAAGGAAGACTTGTGTTTATTGCGATGAGTAATGATTGCTTTCCGTTTGGCATTCTATGAAAATGTTTGTTTAGGGTCACATCGTGCGACCGTACTATACTATATATTGGTTTCATGCTATTAAACAGAGTTTTTCCTGCCTGCATGAATCTTTAAGGAGATTTCGTGACGAAAACCAGACAGATAGAACATCTTGTTGAGCGTGGGTCTTGGGAATGAAAAAGAGTTTTCCAGACAATGCAATACGTTCTAAGCGCCTTTTGTTTCATTGCATAACAAATATGTATAAACCGCTGTTCACACGAAACACCGTAGATATTATCATTATTTTGATCAGATGATTATAATCAACATTATCAATTATATTCGATCAATCATCATCGTCATCATTTGATCACGTTTTGCGGTTGTCGAAAATGGGAATGAAAGACCACACTCTAAATGGAAAATGGGAATGCCTACAAAGCACAAATCTGCCTATAACAAGAGATAAGCAATGGAGATAAGAGGCCGTTGTGGAATCGAGGTAGAGTAGAATGATCCGCTACATGTGCCAAAAAGGGGGGAGGTGATTCACAACACCGTACGCCTTAGCACGTCAGATTTTGGGGGTACTTAATCAGGGATGGCGCCAGAAAAGAAATGCTGGGGGGCGCTGTAATGTCAGAGTGCCGACGGTGAGTGAACCACCCACAAAGATGTAATATCACATCATTCCGCTGTGGAAATTCTAGTTCAAAAGACTATTGAAGTTATGAAAGTGCCGACATTGCTTAAAATTTTTCAAAAATTCAAGTGCCGACGAGGGAGCTCAATGAATTTTTAGGGGGCTCCTGCCCCCCAAGCACCCCCGGTGGCGCCATCCCTGTACTTAATATCATTGTTTCTATCAGCACACTGTACACAGTTTTCTAAGAATATTGTTAATAGGAATATTGGGCCAAAAATAGAAGAGCGAGTTAGATATAAGATCAAGGTAAACACTTTATCAATAGCATTCATTTGATGTTTTCTCACAATTTCTTCAATAATATTAATCTTTACAGTAAGGAAACAGCAAGTTACCTTAGACTAACCCCAGGGGGGGGGGCTTGCCATTCCTTGATTAAATCTACCTGTAGCTTTGTTTAAGAAACACTTGAAACAATGTTTTTAGGCTCTAGATTTAAAATGTTTTAGAGTATCGAAACCTAACATTAATTAAGGCATTCTTACAGGAAAACCGCGGTGTACCTATCTACCATTATACTGATTGAAGGCTTAGTTGTCAGCCGTAAAGCCGATTCATGGGTATTAGGAGCAATTATCTTTTGTAAGAGAAAATATTCGAAGATTCGTCGACAGACTGGAGTTGCGTATCACCGAACTTGCTTCCGATTGAAGAGACTTGCCTTGTCTGCGGATCAAGACAGGTGTTTCAAAGCATCAATGTTGCTCAACTGCTCACACTAGTCATTTGACTGACAAAACACAGAAAGTATATCGTCATTTTGTAGCTAGCTGAACCACGAATTAAACAACTGTTTACACATGTACACAGATGTAGCATTTGCAAATGAAATTGTCGATTCTCGGTTTTCCTGTGAAGCAAGCAATCAACATGAAAGACAGGCTGGAAAACTTTCATCAAATTCTGCAGGTATTTTTCCAGCATAAATGCAGTTTGCACTTGTTTGTTGCTTTCTATATCGATATTGGAAGATTTAGTTTGTTGTTTTTACATCGAATGGGCCTTTGTGCACAGGTGCCTTCAGACAATATGGGTTAAATAATATGTTGGTCACTGTTGTGTTTGCGAAATTTATAGTTTAGCCGGACTTTTTTTACATCAAGTTTCCTTTGTCACAAGGAGATTCGCTTCATTACACCCTAATATGGTTTATATTCCGTTTTAGATAAAGCATAAACCATTGTTCATAAAGGCACGTTCAGTTTAAAATCATGGTTTCTTTTAAAAAATTATTATCTTATAAACCCTTCGGTCACAGAATAGAAATATTCTGTGACGCGACTGTCCCTGCTGCCTTATTTCTATTCTGTGCTTCGGTTGTGGATGAGAATACACAGACGAAAAAGGTTGCCAGATATACAGATTGATACACACAGATTGATCTTGCTTGACAGGTTGATAATCTTTATACATAACAATGTAATATTAAATTGCTGATCTTTCCAATTATTGGCCCTTTCCAAACGAGTTTGTCTTTGCAGATGAACGATAACGGCAGCGATGAATCGTGGCTTGTTGATGATGCCATGTTACTTTATGAGGAAATGTCATCAACCAACAATTTCAACGAAGAAACGGAAAAATTTCTGATAATGGTAAGTTTATTTCAAATTTTAAAGAGTATTGGGGTAAGAACAGGCTACATTGCCTGTTGCTGAATATTGTCATGCCAAGCGATATTAATAATAATCATAACTTGTCGTTTTACAGTGTTGACTACAGCACGTGAACTGAATTCTTTGACACAAAGCAAACGTGCTAAAGGCCTACAAGTACAGGCTCAAGGGGGAATTTCCCATACATGACAGGTAAAAACTAGGAAATTATTACAAGATGACTTTTGTTACAAACTAGTTCCTTTATCACAATCTCCGGTGTGTTTTTGTACTCAGTACACAAAACATTGCGAATGCAAACAGCAGGAATGTTTGGTATCAAGGTAATGACATTTTCAAGCGGATTAGTAAGATTTCAATGATTATCAGCCGCCTGTGCTCTGGTGTTTATCAGGGGAGCAAGACAAAAGATTTTCCAGGAACTGCGTGAAGTCTCGCAGAAACGAGGCCCACAACAATTTTGCTCTGCAGAAGCACTTCATAGTGGTTGTCGAGAGTACAAAAAAAAAGCATCGAAGACAAGAGATTCTTTATCTTCTGTCATGTGTAAATCAGAAAAGCAGGTGGTACATCGTTTAAATTTGAATCACATGTGTTCTTTCTTACTGAAAAGAGCTTTTAAAGCAGAGGATAATTCTGTCAAAAGAGGCGCCTAAATATAAAACAAATTACTTTAGAACAACAAAGTATGCAAGAAAAAGTTCAGTACATTTCATTTTTTAAAAATTTCTCTTCTTACAAATACCACTAAAACTGTTGCAAAATATTACTTGAAAACAAGAATTTAAAATATTAAACATGAAATGGCAATTAAACAAGTTAACAACTTTGAAAAGGAATTCGAAAGCAGAGAATTTTTCAAAGGTAAACTTGTCAAGTAGATCATTTCCCCCTTTTTTGAAAATAAAAGTTGTGGATCTGGGCCTTTTAGTAAAATGTAATCAATCAAGTAAGAATGTTATAAAAGCTTTATTTAAGCATTTTGTAAGTATTTGGAAGTTAAGTGTTCTGCTGTCTGATCTGTACCCAAACGCCTCACAAAGTCCCCCCCCCTGGATTTAAGTATGCAAGATTATTTATCCCTCCTTACAGCATTAGTACATAAATCAATATGATTGTGATATTCTTAGGACGACAATGAACGATAAAGACACGTGGTAATAAGTTGGTGTTCTCCAAGCATCCATTCTTTGTCCCTTTTACCAATCGTGATATCATACAAAGTGAGATGTGTTTCTTAGAAGCGCTTGATCATGGTGTGACATTTTTCACAAACAAAGGTATCACTGGCTGCATTCTTATCTGTGCTTTTCTGGGCCTACTTTGCATTCATATTTCACGCAAGCACTGAAATTCGAATTTTTAAATTTGTTTTAGGCCGATATTGTTCAACAACGAATACGTGCTTGCCAACAACTTATTTTGGAGCTGAGAGCAAAGCAAAGCAAGATTATTGTACAAACACATTTGGATAATCGTTAGTTACTTCACGTTTATACAATTTGATTAAAATTATCAAGACGAGCATTTTATTTTGCAAATGAGTCCTTGAAACATTAGAGTACAGTGTAGAGAATGTCGCTTACACGTGGGAAAGGCCTTCTGCTAAGCGATAGGTGAGGTAAAATAATCCTGGGAGCTTGCGACTCAGGACCCTAGAATGACTTATTCCCATGTGGCTGGACCGTCTTCTTGACACACCCCTGTTAAAATGTGTTCTGGAAGATTCGAAACTCTTTTTTAACATAAGAAAGACATTTGAGCAAGCAAATAAGATTTGTTTCTCTGTTATTTTGCATATCTTACAAATGTAGTGTCATGGTTTAGCCGAGTGATACACGTGTTTTATCGTAGAGCTGGAAGGAGATCTCGATTGCCTAACGAAACGTATTAAAGACCTTACAGCATCATTGGACAAGGAAATCAAAGGTATGGGGACATATGATGATAGATATCAGAGTAAGTATTGTTTCAACAGCAGAGCCCAAAAGAAATGGCAGCCAGAAAAGTAACCAATATAAGAAGGTTATTGAAAAGAAAGTAAGAATAGTTACTACACCCAGACAAAGCTTTGCTCTGTAAGGTTTCAGCTTTTGTGACGTAATGGGAATAGAAAATTTTCTCGATCTGTTTCAGTTTTACTTCCTCACAAATTTGGAAAAATGACTTTATATGCTCCGGGTACAAACAAGCAACATTCTTTTCTTTGAATATGTGTAAAAATGTCGTCTCCCAAAATTGCAAATTGCTATTTGTGGAATTACTCAGTTTTAATAAAAACATGCATAAACACTGCTTCTTTGAGTGATAGTACAGTGAGTGATCTGAAGAGCTTCTTTGGTTATAGTACAAGAATAATGATGAAATGACATTATCCCAGTATATGGTAAAACATGTTGGATATATTACTCAAGGCCAGATCAAGATCAGGTTTTGAAAAAGCGGCAGTACATTGAACTTCAAAGTGCAGGGGCGACAGAGCAGAAGAAGTTTAGTCTGCAATTATCAGCAATTCATCTTGCTTAAGGTTTACGGGTAATGTCCCCTCTGGCCTGTATGTGGCGTGGCTCCTGGGTGTAGTTAACTACCTTAAATTTTTGGTTTAAAGAGATATTCCCTTGGAGGTTCTAGGATCAAAACCACTTTATTATAAAGTAAGACACCAGCAAATATGACAGCAGATGAGGTCATAGAATAAGACCTATCTAATCATATGCAATTTTATTGTTATCAAGCAATTTAATTTCTCAATTTAAGATTTGGCATCCTGGTCTATCGACGAAGACAAGGCATGGTCTGCAGAACAAAGAATACGAAAATGCCAGGTAATAACTATCCATCTTAACCCTTCTGCCATTACCTTGATTATTTGAAAGTGGAATCTAAGTATTTTAGCTCCCAGTGTTATTACTGATTTAGAGTTCACCAACTCGATGCTACATTGAACAGTAGAAAATCTCTGTTCTGTCTTTGCAAAAAAATTGAAGTAAAACAATTTTCATTTTGGGGAAAGAAGGAACTGCCATCACATGCATTCTTCGTTAAAGTCATGTGTTATGCTGTCAAACTCAAAATCTATAAAGTTTCGCTTGGTTTTCAGTTTATTTCAATTGTTGCTTCGTAATGCACGATAAATGTTGGAAATAACCTATTTCCAATAAAATATTATTTTGCACAATTACAGTTCTCAAAATAATTATCAATCATCTTTTAAATCTAATTTATATAGCAATATATGTAAATAGGGTGCTCAGTGAAGAGTAATTTTATCTTTGTTGGACCTTTCGTAATCACTTCAGAAAGTGGCGTTTTTGTGGGGTGGGGGGAGGGAGTTGGTGAGGGCAGGGAGGCCAAAGCCCACCAGAAATTTTTTGCACCTTGTTTGCCCCCCCCCCAGATTTTTCAAAAGTTTTTATTTAATGTTTTTTCGAAAGCTGTTCAATCGTTGTTTGACTTGTTTGACTGTTTGGGTTATCCAGGGGGCGTTAAAAATCGGTGCCTTGTAGCTAATTTTGAGGCACCACGTCACGGTTTTACATTCTACTAGTTCGCAAAGTGATGGCTGTTGGCCCCTATAACTGAAAGTTTGGCCCCCGGCTAGCCCCCCCCCCCAGATTTTTCAGGCTAGATTCGCCACTGACTTTACACTTCTCTTTCAGGTTTCTGCCTTGCAGAAGGTATTTCAAGAGCTCATTTGCGACTTTAACAAATCACAGATCAATCATAGGGACAATTGCAAAAAGAGGATTGTGCGGCAGTTAGAAATCGGTATGAGATCAACAGCGGCGTATGAGATTAAGTTAGTAGCATATTTGCTGAAGGGTGGAGGGTTTAGGGTCACATAATAGGCGAAACGTAACGTCTAGTGATAAAAATATTATTGTTCTAATTTCCCCTACAATTCTTTACCATCATACCAACGATTATCAAAACATACCATTAAGCAATTTTGCCGATCAATAAACCAAAAATCCATTAAAAAGTGGAAAGGTCTTTCATCCTCTTGAATAATCTATTACCGCACTCTTTCGAAAACAAATTATATCAAATTCCGTGCTTTTTCAAACAAAGATAAAAACAAAAGAGAGGAAAGTAAATTCCGCATGCAATTATGTCCATCAGCAGCCAGAGCTGTCTAGTTTACCCTAAACCTAACCCTTAACCTAACCCTAAACCTAACCCTAAACCTAACCCTAAACTTAACCCTAAACCTAACCCTAAACCTAACCTAAACCTAACCCTAAACCTAACCCTAAACCTAACCCTAACCCTAAACCTAACCCTAACCCTAAACCTAAACCTAACCCTAAACCTAACCCTAAACCTAGCCCTAACCCTAAACCTAACCCTTTACTTGAAATAATTCATCATGCTAATTTATGACTATTAATCATGCTTATTTATGACTATCAGGTCGAACAGTATGGAAACTAGACAATTCCTCAGCAGCCCTGCCTGCTTGCACTGGTGAAGCTGTTTGTTGATAATCGTGCATAGTGTTGTTGCTGTACAAGCCACATGATTTGCGATTCCATGGCCTCTAGAATCTAGATCAAAATACAAATCATACACAGAATCTTGCAATTCACCACAAGCAAACTATCTTTTGGTGGTACAAAACTTGAAAATGGCTTTGAAAAAAGCAAACATTTTGAAACATACTAAAACTGTTCCTCTGACACTCTTCAGAGTATAAAACGTCAGAACATAGATCGAAAGCTCTATGCTAGGAAATATATATACCCAGTTGTGGATCGAATTAGGCCATTCAGAAACGCAAGCACATGACTGTTGAGGTTGCCCAATCAGTGTCGCTTACCTATTGTCAATTTTTTTGCAGCTGGTTCGGTGAAATCTGACGAGGACGTTGAGGAGATGTTGGAGCAAGGGGATTTCGCTGTGTTTACTGTGAACGTGGGTATTCGTTAGAAACATGACCGAATGTCTTTTAAATATTTCCTCTAGTCTGTTATTACTACTAAAGCGCTAAAAAAGTTTAGAACCTTAACAAAGTTTTGTCTCCGCCAAAGAGTGTCGCGTTTGATGGTCCCTGCTTTTCCGTTATGCCATTTTGAAAATTGTGGAATCACAGTTGTGTATGCATGCCTAAATGGAAGCACGCCATAGCTCAAAATTGCATTCAAGATCTGTGAAAAATAGCTCTGATCCCTTATTTTCTACATCTCATCCGCTAATCACTTTCCAAAACCTACATTTTAAAGAAAGCTTTTGAGCTAGATTTATATAAAACGACTTTGATAAATTTAGCCAACTCGTTTCCTATCTAATCTTTTTATTTAACAAAACAACTCAGTTTTTCGAGAACGCTCTTTATAGGAACGTTTTATCTTTTTAAAATCAAAATCCGATAAATTTAAATTTAATGCTTCCTTTTAGATTGTGGTGGAAACTCAGAATATGAAAGCTGCTTTAAAACTGGTTGAATCAAGACATGCGGATATAATTCGACTTGAAAAGAGCCTTTATGTAGGTATCCGTTCTTAAGCGGAAAAACCGTGAATAAATTCAAACTTCAGGGTTTTTGTTAATTCTATTACCTTTTTGTGTCATTATGTTGACACCATTCCTACCTTAGATGCTTAAATCAAAGAAAACATGCTTGTTAATTTTAACTGAAACTTGTGGAACAGGGGAAGCAGTGAAAGAGTGTTTGGGGAGCATTCCCCTTTTCCAAAGCAAAAGACTACCACATTACTATTTGCTATTGCTTTTTGAGATCATATCGCGAGTGTTCTTTTTCTGTATTCAATAGCTATATTCCTACTGGGACCAGAGCTACTCTCTATTAGCTATAGGGACCTGTCTGTTGTAAGAAGGTTGCTTGTTATAAACCTTTGAATGCTGAGATTAAGTTTCAGGATCATGAGCATTGCTATAGCAAAAGGGGCACGTAGGGGTGAAACACAACCAAATCAAGAAATTTTTGGTTTTTTTATCTGTTTGCAGGTAGTGCTAGATCTTTTTCAGTGTTTCATAAAGGGGCCATGTTGAATAAAACGCCATTATTATGAAGAGATATTTAACAGTATTTAACAGTATGTGCTGAAGGATATTCATATCTCATAGCAGTTTTAATTATTGTATTTACGATACTGTAGAAAAGTTAAATGACAAAGATTTGTTTAAAAAGCTGAACTGAAAAATTATGTGGATAGGGGAAAAAATGAAAGCAGACGGGAATTAAGCAGAATAGGTGTCATACATAGAAGTATAATATAAATTTACTAATCAAATATGTCAGCATTGAAATATTATATTAACGATATGCCGTTTTCGTCAAACATCCTAAAATTTCACCTCTTTGCTGATGATACTAGTATCTTCTTCTCGCATAAGAATCTAAGTCAATTAGAATTCATCGTAAACGATGAGCTCAGCAAAGTTTCAGACTGGTTAGTAGCCAATAAACTGACCTTAAATGTTGATAAATCAAACTTCCTCATAATCTCTCCCTCGATAAAAAATAAAACAAATGAAATAAAATTAGCAATTAATAACAAATCAATTGCTCAAAAGGATTGTATAAAATACCTTGGTGTACTCTTAGATAAGGACATTAGCTGGAAACAACACATTCAACAGGTAAATCTAAAAATTTCTAAAGGCATTGGAATACTAGCTAAGGCTAGGCATTATGTTCCTCCACAAATCTTAAGGAACTTATACTTTTCTTTTATCGAGCCTCACGTCAACTATGCTTTAATTAACTGGGGGAGTGCAAATCTGTCCTCCCTAAAACCTATGGGCCGAAATCTAAACAAAGCTCTACGAATAATGAACTTTGCTAAAAACACAGCAAGCTCCAAACCAATTTACCATAAATTTGATATATTAAACCTCAATGATAGTTACACCCTGCAATGTGCAAAGTTTATGTATGACGTAAACACAGGCACGCAAATGGATTTTCTTTGTCAGCTCTTCCAAAAAACAACATCAAGACATAGCTATGATACACGGCAAGCTGCAAAACAAAATTTTGCTATCCCCAAAGCAAGAACTAACCTTAAAAAGAGATTCATTACGTTCAATGGAGTTAAAATCTGGAACGAAATCCCACTTAATATTCGCTCTAAACCAGTCAAAAGACTCTTCCAAAAACATCTCCGAAATTGGCTTCTGCAAAAATATTTATAAAACCCAAATGCACTTACTTTAAACCAACCCGAATATCTCATTCTTCGATTTCTAAACTGAAAACGAACAGAACTCTCGTGTCACCCCCCCCCCTTCGTTTATATCCTTGTTCTCTCCTCTTGCCCCTTTGTATTTTGTTCTTTTTTTCTTAATATCTGTATCTTAATCTTAATATGTTTCTATTCTTCTTCTGTTATATGTTAAATTCAAATCAAAATTATTAGTAATTAGTTTCTACTTGTAATTAACTTTTACTTGTTCCATTGTTACTGTTATACTGCATGATTAACTATTACCAACTTAGGGCGCTAGGCTCGAAAACCGTTTCGGTTCCTCCCAGCGTCCTAGGCAACTTATTTGTTATTAGCTAAAATAGATGTCATATATTCTGTATTAACTACTATAATAATTAATTTAAGTACCCTGTAATTAGTTGCTGAATGCCAATGAATTTGAATTTGAATTTGAATTTGAAAGAGAAGGTTTTGCTTCAAAGTTTAATATATTAATACCATATTTATCATTAATGCTGCAATAAATGTAAACCAGCATTTGCCGTACATTTCTGCTTTCGAATTAGAATATATTTGCCACTATTTGCTAAAGGTTCTTTTTAAGCTTCCTCAAAAATTCAAAATATTATTCATAAACTGTTAACCAGTCGATTCATTAAGAAAAATCTACCGTTTCATGGCCTATGGTTACTGATAGCGGGGTATATACCATAATCTTTGAATTTTCAACAAATATATTTTTCATTCATGATTACTTTCTCAAAACTGTCATGTATCAGTTTATTTTTAGCAAATTTTTCAACGAGAGAACACAAAATCTCGAGAGTTTAGTGACAACGGTGTTTTTGGAGTAACCACCCTCCCCGTTTCTCTAATTACAATCTTGCACTCCTGATCAATGACTTTCTTGATAAAACTTGCGAGCTCCAGTCCCTGATGATTTCTCTGATTTACTAGGAAATTCAAGACTTGTTTTTGGAAATGGCAAGAACTATAGAGTGTCAGGTAGGCCTAGTTAATATTGGCTACATACACAAGATCTTAATGCATGCAGAATGATTATAACGTTACAGTGTAGAAGTATAAAGGTTCGCATGCATTTTGTAAAATGATCTTCCTTAAAATGTTTACTTTTTTGTGAAAGTTCAGAAGCTCGAGTTTGGTTCATATGGTCTTTATTGTAGTTTATCAATAGGCTTTCGATGTATTTTTTTGAGTGATCGGAGTCGTATCCAGGAAGATTGCTGGGGTGGTTTATTGCCCCCTCGAAACATGAGAGCTTAGCCCCCTCATTCTCAAAAGAACTTTTGCTTAGCCTCACTTCTGCGTCGAAGGTGCCCAAACACAAATCTCTGGTTTTGAAATCACCGTGCAAGGAAAATCGATATACAATTTCCTCTAAGTATATACCACCAGGAAACTGAAAAGGCGCATAAGCGGAAGTCATACCCCTCCTCCCATTATCAGTTCACAATACATTCTATTCTTTAATTTCGTACTCTGCTATCACATATATGCTTCTAATGCTAAATGTTTCGACTGTAGTCACCATGGGCTCCGACGCAGGTTGGAAAGTAGGGGGGAGGGCAAGGGAGACTTAAACAATCATACCAAAATATTTTTAAAAAAGCTCTATTGTTTTGCAAAATGGAGGGGCCATGGCCCCCGACCTCCCTTTATCGGAGGCCCTGCATCACTCCCCCCTCCCCCACCCCCGATGCTTAATTCTGATTTGACCTCGATATACCCAACAGTTTTTAAAAGCATATTTATAAAGTTCTTATTGTCTAGGTAATGTAATTTCATTGTGAATTTATTTCTTCCGCTAGGGACAGCTGATTGATAATATTCAGTACAATGTGGAAAGTACTGATGAATATCTTAGAGTTACACTTCCTGCTTTGAAAGCTGCAAAAAAATACAAGAGGAGGCGAATGCTGCTCTGCTGTCCGTGTCCATGTTTACAGCTTTGCCCTCTTTTGTAACTCTCCAAATAAAGCAAGTTTTCACAAAACTAAGATAAGTCAAGCGAGCACTCTTTTTGATTTTTTATATTTTTTTGTGCCATCTGTTGTTGCGAGAATAAAAACTATTAAAACCTATCTAGTCAAGCAGACCAGTGTTTACTAATAAGGGTTCCTTTGCCATGTTAGTTGGGCTTTTTATATCCTACAATCGTATATGCCTCTGCTAGTCAACAAAGTACAACTCTCACTAAATGTTCATACTATCACATACTAAACTTACAAAAATACTATTGCAGAGACTTGTTCTCAACTCCCTCAACTAACGAATTTTCATATTTGTAATTCCAGGCTTATTCCTGGGTGCCTTGCTTATAATTCCTTCTCAATTATACATTCCATACCCTCACATATCAGTCGCGGCGACAGCCCTTAGGTTCTTGGGGGACAAAACAACAATTTTGTGGGCCACATCCTTTTTTACCTTCAAATGGGATTTTACTAACAAGGAGCGCAAATTTTACGGCAGTTTCAAAATCAAAGGATTGAATCCCAAAAAATAAGTTCCCAAAACATTACACCCTCCAAACATTTTATCATTGAATTTAGAAGAACGACAATATTGGTCTTGCCGAGAACTGGGAGGGGAGTTGTGTGCCCCGGTCCCCACGTTGCGCCGATATTGCCACATATACATTATCAAACAATTGTCCCAACCGTAACCTCAACCACGCATTTGTCTAAAGAGAGATGAAATTGTTTTGCTGTACCCTGGGTTTCAGAGCCACATAAATTTCAGCGCGGAAATAGAAGACAGGAGTACGCTCCTCCGCATGGATTTCTATTGATGTGCTCGAATTCCTGTTGCTCTGATACCCAAGGAAGTACTGCTGAAGCTGGCTAGTCATGTTACTAGTTTTCTTGTTTAATTTTTTGCATTAAATGATCTTTTTAAGGGCTTAGGCTTATTTTGCCAGAGACAATACAGTAATTTGAAAATCTTTTACAATAAAAGATGTGCTAGAAATATCTTAAAGCGAATGAAAATGGATTAGAATATTACTCATCATAAATAACTTGTCAAGCATTGACTAGTTTTAATCAACTAAACAACGAAATATTTCTCAAACTGTCATCAGAAAAACTTAGATGAGGCAGAATGGTATTTAATTTTTGTTTTTCATGTTATTAGGTCGGATCAATAAAATTGGTAAATGACGACGTCTGATAAATCTATTTTTAAGAAATTCTAAATCTTGGTCACCTACCCTGAAAGAACAGCATAAAGAAAGCTGTAAAGTTAAATTTATAATGCTACTTATTGGCGCGATGTGGCTTTGTTTTGGCTTGGTTGAAGAATACTAAATAACTGCAATTTGTTGAGAAATACCCGACCTTATACTTTCACAGCTTTGCACAGTTGTAAGATTAAACTGGTTTGCAAATCTACAGATATTTTCATGCATTACATTGTCAAATCAACAAATAGATTTTCCGACATCGTTTTTTAGCCACCCTTTGCCTCAAAGAAAAGAAAAACAGCTTTAGAGACAAAGTTTTTGACATAATAGACTTGATTGATAGATAGAGAGAAAAAAATTGCATTTATGTCAGATTGTAAGTTGTAATTATGTTTCTTTGAACTGCTAAATACTCTTCGCCTACATTATTCTTGACTTTAACCTCAGTATTGTTAATATACACTATTGTTAAAAGATACAATTGACTATGATAGACCCAAGAGAGGGTGTGCGGTTCGGAGAAACAGTGCTAGGTGCAATGACACGTGTATATTGAATAAAAGAGGATCTTGATTATCAAATTGTCAACAATGAAAATAATCGATTATCGATCATCAAGTGTGGTTGATCTTGCTTCTGAAATTCGATTACCGTATTATCATAGTCAATAAGAACAACTCTGATCTGAAAGTCCTTTGTTTTATACTTTGTTTTGCCCGCCGACTTGAACCCTACCAAAAACGATTTTCTATCACCAATTTCATTTTATAATGGAATGCTATGCAATCTTATCAGACGGTAGCGATGGCGAAAGTCTTTTTCTACTTTTTTACTGTACGGCTCTGCAGTTTGCAAATATTCTTATTTCAAATTGTGCAGCCAGCTCTTTTAACTTCTTTTTGTTGAAAAATTTGGGAGACAAATTGTACAGCTTCTTCAGGAGACCACAACAACTGGCCTTAGAAAAGCCATTGCCAATGAGCGATAAAGATTTCGATCGCCTACAATACTTATCTGGCTAAATTGAACACAAATTTTTGAAAAAGCAAGAAACAGCCCAATTGACATTAACCAGACTTTAATTAGGTTGCTGGAGAGCTTCATTGAAGAACGGCCTGTGTCCCAAGGACTGACAAAACCAAGAGGAGATTTGATAAGAGCTAAAAATGAAATTGAGAAAACCTTTGCTCAAGCAGAGACAGAATGTCTTTCGCAGATACACACTTTGCCATTCTTTGAAATTAGCATCGATTTCACGATATTTTAATAACACATCCAAGATATCTCTTTCTTTAACTCCACATTTATTAAACGCACAGTTAGCTCCAGGCATGTTATAATAATATAGCATACTTGATAACCTGATGCGAATTGAAAATATCATGTTAAAACGACACCCAAATTAGAAATTTGAACTCTACCGAGCGAAAGTTGTGCACTTTTTTGATCCCTTGACATTGTTAAAATTAAGCAGAAAGTTAGAACAACAGGCTATTGACTATGGTATTATTATATGCTTGAATTTGAAAACATGGTTTAAAGCTTGTTTTTATCTTTGTTTATCGCACTTTTCTTGTCATTTTTAATTCACACACTTTCCATTCTGTATTAGACGCCGCCCTCTGATAAACACCACCCTATATACCTATATGACTAACGCCACACGCAAAATTTTGGTTTCGTAAAAAACAGCGCGGCGTTCCTTAGAGGCAATACGGTAACTTGTTTCTCGGTCTGTTGAAAATCTAATTCGAGATGACTCAATCTAGTGAGAAAAATGTTGAAAACATTTAGCTCATTCTTCGAAAATATCAAAGACTAGTGGAAATAGAAAACTTGTCTTAAGGGTACAGATTCATTTGTTTGAATTACACAACACCATTTTTTGCAAATGATGAACAGAAAATCCATGGTTTTTTGAGATGTATTAATTTCACCTAGTTTGATACACCAGATACACAAATACGACCCAAAAGCCATGATCTTTTTGGCGGGAAATTTGAAATTATCTTTTTCGACATTTTTATCATCCCTGCACAGGAGCATTTTTGGCGCCTTTAATTTTGGCGCCTTTTATCACTGATTGTTAATATATTATCACATGATACGATTCAGTATTCTGATTGGTCTATTTGCTAAATCCATCTCAAGACACCCAAACGTGCCCGCGCCAAATCAACGGACAGTGGGTTGTGACATCGGAAGAAACTTGGCGCTCTGCAAGGTGATGCAACAAGAAACTCGGCCTTACAGGTAGGCAAAGTTGCAATAATCTATGAGTACACTAAATGACATTTTTGAATTTTATATGTACTTTCAGTTTCAAAATTGTCCAACTGTAAACTTATTATCGGTGATAGAGAACTGGCCTAAACCGACAAGAGAGGAAATTGTATCTCTATAAAGTACCATTTATAAAGACTGTTAATTTTACAATATTTTTTTTGAATCAAGAAAAATTGTCTTAAGCTTTGACAGTAGCTTGAATTAAATTTTCCGTTTAAGCAATAGTGGAATAAGGATCATAGACATTGCAAAATGATCGTAGGGCAGGCTGAATATGCACGGCTAGGCCCTAACAAATATTTGAATTTTTCTGCCTTTTTCAACCGCCCCTCCATTGCCACAACTAATTTTGAAAGTTTATTGCTAGGCAGAGAAGCTTGGATGAAAATATGTTCAATCCTCAAGCAAGAATATAAATATGTAGAGATGTACAGATCGTCTAATGAATGGCGCTTCTTCGGCATTTTATGACCACACAAGATCTTTGTACTTTGCTCCGTAAAGCTTCTGATGTTTATTTCATATATACCAGTTTTAAATTTTCTTTACAGGGAACTTGCATTATCTGATTGTTGATAAAACTGTATCCCTTTCGTTTGTTTTGGCGCCAATTCAGGGGTGAACCATTTTCATATTGGGGCGGGGAGATTAGGCCGCTGCTTCAAATATGTATAAGACAAGTAGTATTGAAATTTCATTTGTTCGAAGTTTAGTTTCAGGGGGCTTGAATTTATGATTTTCAACAAAAATTGAAACTTTCAACCTAAACTGCTGTTATATAGAACAAGGGGTGGTATAAGCTGCCTACTTAAACTAACTATTATTGCTAGTGATAATTAATGCTGTTCTTTCTAGATACTGTTTAAATGATACTGTAAAGGAAACAATCAAGCACTGCACACCATCATTCAAAATGATGAAATCACTTGAAAGGAGTAAATCTGATGAAGACATCAGAGATGCAGGTTTTAAATTGAAGCTGGAAAAAACTGCAAATAGTCTACCAATAACACCGCAAAAGCAAGCTGGAATGGCTCTATCTTCAGAAGATCCATTGACACCAACAGCAAATTTGAAAATGCTCGTTTCTGCTGCATTTGGAATTGCCAGTGCAAGAGACGAAGGTAGACAGAAGAGGGAACTCTTTGTTGATAAAAACGATGATGAAGACAACTGCAGCACTAGTTCAGATTCAACCGAAGACAAGGATAAACAAGATTATTTTGAAAGAGACAGAAATGGAGGATTTGATAAGAAAGATCTTGGTTCTGGCAGAAAATTAAAGTCATTGGGTCTCCTTTGTCAAAAGTATGTCTTTGGAAAATTGTTTAATATATATGTATTTCTTTTAGTGTCATTTCTTAGTCTACATGCATATATATTTAGTCTACAAGCATAACTTTTTGAATTAATTTATATATTGATATATATATATTATATTACATAAATATATATTTTAAGAAGTTTTCTACAGTTAGTGAACATAATCAAAATTGCTGTTTACCAGTCTGTCATAGAAACTTGATGTCATATAGGCAGAGCTGTACATACTATTTGATGTATAGAACAAGACAGTTCATAGGTGCTTTCTCCAAGTTTCACGCTTTCCGTAAATCCTCAAAGTAGCCCTATGGGGGCTTATTTATTTTTGATGTCTTTTGATAGGGGCTTATATGAAGGGGGACCTAAAAATTATCAAAGACATTAAGAAGACGTTATTAAAAGACTTTGTTTATTTTAGTAGGAATTGGAGAATTTACGGTAGCAGTAGGGGCTTATTTGAGGAGGATTTATTGACAATTTGTAGTTTTAGAGTGGGAGCTTATTCGAGGAGGAGGGCTAGTTTGGGGATTTACAGTAATGAGGTCACCAGACAACAACTCTCTACCATCAGCTGCTAGTAGTTGATGTATTTATCCTTACAAGTACAAAGCACAGTTTCAAAATATCAAATTCAAATTAATGTGATTTAGCAACATTTACAATTTAGTTACAATATACTCAAACTAATCAAATTATTAAATAAGTTGCCCAGGACACTGGAAGAACAAGAAAAGTTTTTGAGCTCAGTGCCTTGATAATGATGTCAATGACATTATGTCAAAAATATTTAGAACTTATGGACACAGTCATGCTTAAACAATTGTTTAGAGGGTTTGATAAAAGTTGCATCAATTATTTTTATTTTCAATGTAATTTTGTATTGATGAAAATCATTACTTTCTTTTTAGATTTTTAAGTAAATATCCAGAAGGATCCGAGGGAAGCATAATATCTCTACATGAGGTTGCAAAGGAATTAAGTATGCAAACTTTTATTTGTTGTTAGCCCCTTAGTAGTAGAATTGTTTTCAATCAAGCTTATTGTAGTGAGACATTCATTATTATTAAAAAAGCAGAGTCTTATTAAGTAAGTAATATATATATACATGTGTAGCATTAAAAATTGGAAAAGCACTTTACCAATATACTTTTTGCAAATGCTTGATGATGTCCAAACAACAAGTAAAGAATTGTACCCAGGTGCAAATCAATATGTGAAAAGTAACTAGTTTGTTTTTACCTTGAGTCCTGATGGTGGCTCAGTGGTTAGGGTCAGGGACTACAGATCCAAGAGTCTGGGGTTTGAGTCCTTAACATGACCAAACTTTTACTTAGGGTTATACTGACCCTTTTTTATCCCTGTAGTATGAATCAGAGATGTGGTCACATCAAGAGGATACTGCTCATAAGCACAACTTTGCTGTATCTGAATAAAACTACCTTCGTTTGCTAAGTAGAAACAACAGCAAAAAGTGCAAATTTGTCTTTTCCTTGGTAATTTGCATGACAGCTAGTTTATTTGAAAAGTTTTATGTGTGCTTGTTTCATTATTCATTTAGGTATGTATGAATATTTTCATCTTACAGGTGTTGAGAGACGAAGAATTTATGATATTGTAAATGTTTTGGAAAGTTTAGAATATGTAACCAAACAAGGAAAGAACACTTATGTCTGGCATGGCTCAAGCAGACTAGTTCCAACACTTAGTAAACTAAAGGTAATACTGCCCGTAATTTTTTAGAATATTGTTCTGTAAAAAGAATAAGATCTCTTAATGAATGTAATGGAAACAATGGCAAACTATACTTTATGGCAATGGCCGGGTTAGGGCTTGGCTCAGCAGTAAATCATTGGTAACATTTTGTAATTAATTAGCATTCTGTATTTCATCCTTAAAACATCTGCAGATAATATCTGCTATTGAAGAAAAATCTGTGGTAGGGTTTTGCTAGAAGGGTGATCAAATCTTTTGAGTTATGTTGTTTTCTTTCAGGCTCTTGCCAAAAAGATCTATGGAGGAAAAGGCTCTACAAATTTTGAGAATGTTGATAAAAATAATATTCCATCACTGTGGCTTAGTAATGGAATTATGGTCAGAGACCAAGAATCAGATAATTCTAACAGTGAAAATGCGTCGACTGCAAGCCAAGGTGAATTTCCCTTTTTAGAATTTTTGATGTCATTGCAATTTCATTGAAAAACAAACTTTGATGTTTGCTGGCAATACTTTTAAACTAGTTTCTTTTACTTTTAAAACTGGTCTATTGTTCTTTTTGTTTAGATGAAGATAAGGGGAGACGAAGAAGCAAATCTTTAGGGATTTTCTGTCAAAAATTGATAATGCTTTTTATGGCAGCTGAGGTTTGTGACAGCTTTCATAACTTTATGAAAATTTCTTGTTTTTTTTTCATCAAAGTAAATCATGTCTTTTCATTTGGTTATTTTAGAACTTTGAGTTTAATTTAAAACATTTCCCCCTTTTCATTTTGTTGTTTTTGAAGAAATTTATTCTTTGACAAACTTGTTCTTAGCATTTGATCATGATCGCACAGTTTTTTTTCAATTATTCTACAGAAGGTCTTGCAGATTCAAATAGCTTCCTATCCTTCACAATTTTGATACTTGATTGAAAATGTTTTTACACCTGTGAATCCTTCATGTGGCCTAGCTCATTAGCTTATCTGTTAACTTACAGAACCCTGTAATTGCATTAGAAGAAGCAGCTAAGGAAATTATTGAAGGAACAGAAGACCCTCATGGAAAGACAAGAAGTAAGTTTATATAAATATCTAAAAATATAGCCATTTTGGCTTAGCCATAAACAAGAGGATAAATCTAAGCTGATCCATTGGCTTTGGTGACAAGTTTATACATTTTTGTTTGAGAAATTGCTGCAATGAAAGGCTTCTATGAATCTATTCCATATATGCACTTCATATATGTAAAGATGTACTTTTGAGGTATAAGTAAGAGTTTATATACATATATGTGTATGAATATAAGCATGTGGCTTGGGAGTTTTTTTTCATTTCATAATCATGAATTACTTATGTCAGTTTCACTCCTGAGTAGTTGCAACCTGACTGGGTATTATAATGTACATTCTTATCGAAGTAACCAGTTCGGCACTCATATCATCTTAAAGGAGACTGATAATTATAAAGGTTTAAATGTTGAAATATGTATCAATTATTTATGAATGTTTTGCAACTTTGTCGATGAAATGAAGTTTAAAAGTTTGACATATATATGTATATTTAACTCTTGTCAATTTTTATGATTGCAGCAAAGGTCAGGAGGCTTTATGACATTGCAAACATTTTGACAAGCATGAGACTCATTGAAAAGACTGGATCACGTAAAGCAGCATTCAAATGGGTTGGGGTTGATTTAGAATCATTGCAGCCAGATACAGGTTTGGAGATTACAATAACAAATTTAACTAATTTCCCTTGAAATTGAAAATCTAGTTTAAATATGCTGTGTATAGAGATGAATCTTTCATTTTCAGACTGGGTAGTTTGTTTATAAAGGAATTCTCTTGAGAATTCTGCTCTGAACATGAGTGACTTTTTATCAAAGAAGATTTTGCTGAAATAATCTTAGTATATGCTGCAGATATTGCTAACCTTCAATTTTCAAACAAAAATTCTTGAAAAATTATTGCTTAATGCTTTATGCAAGAATTTTTTCATGTTATTGGCTTTTCAAATCATTTTGCTGTTTTTGTTAAATTTTTTTCATTGAAACCATGTTACGTTGCTCTTGATGCAGAAACACTTGAACAGACATTGAGTGGAAGCCTTGACTACATGACAACAAAGCACTCTTTATTCAGTATGCCATATACTGTGGAATCTAGATCTTGTGAGTTATTTAAGATATTTATTCCCTAATATTATGTAAAGGTCTTTTTGAAAAACGGAAGACTTCAATGCTACATTTTAAATGAAGCTTTAAGAATTTTTTCCCCACACGTTTTTATGAGATTTGGGATTTCTGTTTTTTTCTCTAAACAAGGTCCTGAAATCTTTCTTGAATTGAGCCACCTCCTTGCTCTTTTTTCAGTGCAAAGCTCTGTAAGAAAACTTGAAAGCAGATCATTATCAGCCAGCAACATTGCCATTCGAAATCTGAATCCTCAGAAAAAGAACAAGATGCCACGTACCAAATCTGCTGCAACAATTCACACTAGAAAAAGGTCAAGCACCGACAGTAAAGACGAGAAGACTTGCAAATTTATGAAACCAGACCAAGACAACAAATGCCCAGAAAAAACTAGCCTGGGAAGCATTGAAACAAATGACAAAAAGACAACTGCAAAAGACCTTAATGATGAAAGTGACAGAGCTGGTCAAATTGAAGAAACTGATGTCCAATCTCCAAGGAGGATTGCAAACATTAAATGTATGGAAGCTACTATTCTAACTAGCATTTCTATAATATTTTAGATCAGGAGATATATACTTCAGAAATCAGTAAAATTGATTTTTTATTTGGTATTAGATGCTTTGCAAAGTGACAAAAATTCTTTCACTGGAAAACATAGCCATTCTTTCAACTGCATTCATTTGAAAATATAGCCAATCACAATTTTTAGTAAATGCAAGAGGAAAACGTTTGTAGTTTGCTCTTGTCATCATGTATCATGCTGCATTCTAGGCATGTTGTGAGATAACAACAGTTCTTCACCTTCGATAAAATATTTAAAAAAATTTTACATGGAATATCCCTTTTGTTTTGATGTAACTTATGATGATTGTGCAAAACGTTTTTAATTTCTAAACTTTTTTAGCTGAACAAGTGAGTCCAAATGAAAGAATTTTTCGTGAAGAGTTTAAGAGGCTACAGGAAAGATTTCCAGAAAAGCTGCAGAATCCAAATGGATTATTGCACCTTATAACTGCTCACAATGAAATTCAGAAACAGGAAACCCAAAGTGACACATCCAAGGATAGTGAATTTTCTGATAAAGGGAGCCGTTGTTGTCTTCTTGGGAGGTTGGAAGATGAAGGATCACCAATAAGCAAAGCAGGATTGATTAAAGATAGTTCTTCATTAGGAGGACATGCAAAAAATACCTTGAAAGACAGCAAGGCAAAAGTTTTGTCATTATCTTGTTTAGAAGTTATCATGGACCAGTATAATGGTAAAAAGAAGGCTATTACTCTGCGTAATGAACTTGAAAAGGTACTTACAAAGACAACAGAGAATCCAAAAGACAAAAGGTTGCTTGTTGATCAGGCCATAACAGAAAAAAGTAAAAGAGTTGTGCAGACTGCCTCGATAGGAATTCAAGCTTCATTTGGTGAATCTATTGGGCCAGTAAATGAAGAGGCACCAACAGCCACAAAGAAACGGAAAGCAAATTTTAATGAATGGATTTCAAGTGCATCTTCTGGAAATATCAGAAGCAAAACATCAACAGAAGTTAATAACATAAAATCTACAAAGGAGTCTCCAAGACTTCCAGCACTCTCTACAGCAAGCTCTGTGTCTCTCAATGACATAAGGACAAGCCCATCAACCAAGCCAGCAGGTTCTGTGTTTTTAGTTAGTCTAAAACAGTCTCCAAATGGGCAAAACAGAAGTTTAGCAGATGCTATTGCATGTCTAAAAGGAAATTGCTCTTCGCAATTAGCACAACTAATGCCACAGATCAATGTCAGTGACAGTGAAAAGCTAAAAACACCAAACGTGGAGAACAATGGTGTTGTTGAGATGGTACCCATTGCACCAACTCGTGTCAATATACGGCCGAACACAGCTGAAAAGGAAAACAGTCATTATTTAGATGCCTTTCTTACCCAATCCAGTCCAACTCTCAAAGACATATCAGGAAGAGCAGTTTTTCCTTTGCAATCTGTTGACACAAATATGCAAAATACTTCACCTGTCATATTCTCGAAAGGAAGCAGGCTGTGTGAAGAGACACCAATGCGTTATGATGTAGTTGATATTAAAGCACAAAAAGTTCAAAGACAACTTCATCGATTTATCACTGACAATAAATGAATTTATCTACTTCCTACCATTGATTTACACTTTACAAAGAATTTCACCTAGATTTTGCTTTTTGATAAATTTTATTTAAGTCATTGCTAAATTGGTTCTCTGTCAATTTTCTATTATAAAAAGTAAAACATAGTTGATAAAATACTTTTCTATACTTTGCCATTGTTTTTCACTGAATAAAGGCTTTTCCCATTGTTTTTTTAATTGGGACTAAGAGCTGGGCTGTGTATTCTCCCCTGTATACACTCTTTATGCCTGTAAGATACTTCAAAGAAGTCACCTTATTAAGTGTAACTTATTCTCCACTTGATGAACACATAGACTTCAGCCGAAACATTGTTCAGACTATGATTGCTGATAGCATGCAATTAAATGTTCATTACAGGACTTGTTAGATAACAGCATATATATATATGATGCTGATAGATTTTCCTTTATGCATATTTGTATCCACTGTTGTATCCACCTTTCTCTCATTAGGTGTAAATCTTTAATTCTCGCATAAACAAAAAAGTATTATAATAACTAAAGGATGTGTGTGTTTTTAAATATTTTGCAATAATTCTAATTAACAGCCAAGTTTTGTTCCGTTAACAATTTTATTTGATTTATTTTTGTTCATATAGCTAGAATTTTGCTTCAAAGAATACCTTAAAAAATACTCTTTAATGGAACTTTATCTTTATATATGGTATTGGAGTTTACTCTGCCATCAACATGAATAATTTTTTTTACCTTGCAACAATCCATGTTACGAGCAAGTTTTTAATTGTAAAGATACTCTTCTTCTTATTTTACTGTAGTTATGTAACAAGATTGAAATCTTACAAAATAAATCTTTATTTTTATGTCATTGTTGTTTCTGTTCTTATCTCTCAAATTTATAAAAAATACAAAAAAGCTAAGTTTCAAATAACAATTGATTTAGTTGTGCACCCTAACAAATCAAAACTGTCCCTGTTTATTGGATCCTTGCTGTAATTCAACAAAAATTGGCTGATTATGGTCAACGAAACGAAATACTGCGAAATGTCTAAAATACAGTAAAAATACGCCAAAACACTCAAACGCAATCGATAGTACTCGCTTCCATCGATAGTACTCGCTTCCAATGATCCCATGCGGAAGACGACCAGCCTTGAGTATGAAGAAAGAAAGCCCATAGATTAACAACAACGGTCACGGGTGAAATTCTCTGAAAAATCCGTAGACACCACTGCACGATCCGAGAATGAAAAAGAAATCTAAATTGGTCTTACCGTCCCCCATATCACGATGTCAGTTGTAGAACTTGCTGCATTCCGTACCCAACCTAAAAAATGTTTGCAAAAAATTGTCTTGAAAGGAAGAACCTCTATAAACCTTATGAATTCGTGTCCCCATATATGAAGTGATGTCAAAAAAGCTCCACGACAACCGCGAATTCTTGGAAAATGAAATCACTATTCAAAATGGTGGCTGTAGCAATCTGTAAAGCAGATCGCCGTCGTAGAACGGTTGAGTGCATTTTACGAAGATGACGGTAACAGGAAAATGGATAACTATAATTGAATGGAGGAAAAGTTTTGATATTGCACCCTTGTCGTTCAAATGTCGTCTTTAGGCCGGTTCCTGGTTTGAATATTTGCTGGACATCACGGCCTTTTTTAAGCTGCAATGAAGCTTACAAATAGCCAGCGACACCAAACTGTTGCATATTTCAACAGAGCAAATGTTGCAACGAAACCTACATTGAGACCTACTGAAAAACAAAAACACGAAATAGTGAAGTTTTTTGAAAAGTATGCATTGATTGTTTGGGCCTATTTGAAAACACTACCAAGTGAGTTCATCTGAATGTTGCAACTTCAATTTGTAATAGGATGTTTTTATGCTTTTGGGTAAGTAATTCGTAAGATAAATGGCATGCCTTATCTTGAAATCGAGTATCTTTTCTAAAGAAGTACAGGCAGAGGTTTCTCGATCTTGTCTTGAATAGAGTACATTACTACCAACAAAATCTTGCTAAAATATTCCTAAAATTTCCATAGATAAAAAAAATACAAGCAAAATATATTAAAATTTCTTTATCAGGAGAATGAATACCACAGCCAGATTTTTTAGAAAGAAGTCATGGCAAATTCATTTGATATATATATGTAGGTTAAAGGATGCCTTCAAAGTTAAACAGTTGGATTTGTTTAAATGCCACTTCCAGAAAGACCTTTTAGAAGTGTTTGAATACTTTTAAATTATATGTTTCAAATGATTTAGGTATTGATGCCATGAAAGAATTGTTTGCCTTGAGAAGAGAGTCATAGATTTAAGGTTTGATTTCATTGTCCCTCGTGTCAAGTGAAATTTTCCCTTAATCATATAATTCTCGAAATTAATTGAATGAATCATTTTGTATCTAGTTCCTCCATATGCAACACTTGGTATCATTGGTGGGGTGCTGTTCCTTTTAATAACTGTTGTATGCTGCTGTTGCTGCCGACGCTGTTGCAAAAAGAAAGAAGTAAAAAAGAAAGCAAAAGATAAAATGAATTTGCAAAAGTATCAACTTTTTGGACCAACTTATTATGAGAGAGTACAACCAATGCAGGATGAAATAGATTACAATGTAGAGGCATCTGAAAAGGAAACTGGAAAAGATATTCAACTTGGTATAACAAATTTTATATAATCAATTCTTTCTCTATGTATTATAGCATGTATTTGATGGGATGTTTCTTAAAGGCACCATAACTATTGATATATAATAGGCTAGATTTTTACTTTTGAGAAATTCTCTCTATAGGATTTTCTTAAAAGAATTAATTATTTGTTTTAATGAAGAGATGCTACTCCCAGAGTTTGAATATTTAATGTTATTTTTATAAAAAATGAAACCAAAAGCTAAACTTAACCATAAATAAACATGAGACATAAAGTGGTATGTATTGCTTGAATGAACAGCTTGGTCATCAAGTTTCTATCATGAATAACACATTATTTTTTACAAAAACAGTACAGTTACAAACAAACAAAAACATGGACAATGACAGTAGTGTGTCTACACTTCTGTCACTGTCCATGGTATCAGCAGTAGTTAGCAAAACATAATTTTACTGTAAAATGAAAAAATTAAAAAATGATATTGATTGCTACTGTCTAATATTTAGGAGATAACTAAGAATGTCAAATGTTGAAGGCAAAATTTATATTTCTTTATATTTATACATGTTTCAGGGCGTATAAAATTTGTGCTGACTTTTAGTGGTGATGAAAATATTGCAACAGTCAAAGTGATTGATGCTAGAGACATCCCAGCTGCTGACCCTTCTGGTTTCTCTGACCCTTATGCCAAGGTTGCCATTGTTCCGGCAGGCAGAAAAGAATACAAGACAAAAGTATGGTTTCAATTCTGTTTTGCTTGTTGTGGATTTTTAAATAGTAAGAGGGCAATTATTACTGGTTAGATGTAGTACTTCCTTAAAGGGGCATCTTCAAAAACTTGAACAAAAACTTTTCTATGATTCTTAGTTTCTTCTAAATATCTTGGATGGAAAGGTATTTGTGTTGATGGATGGGGGGAGTGGGCTCATTCAGGCTGTTAATCATATATTCTAGGGTCTGAGTTATAACAAATTTCATAAAGGAAAAAAGACTTGATCATCCAAGATTTTTGACAAAATGTCTTTTAAACTTCATTATTTGTTAGCTAAGGACTCAAGCATTGACTTTATTGGTTTTACTTTTAGGGGGATCTAAAAGTATGTGTAAAATGATAATGCATATCGTATCTGGTGTTGAGTATCTATCCTACTTTGATCCCATATTTAGCCAAAAAGCTAATAATGTCAGAATGTAGGCAAAAGAACACAGTTGACTCAGGGATCACAAAACCACTAAAGCTTTTAAATGAATGAGTGTGCAAGACATAGCAATGTTTAAAAAAGATAAAATTATTTTGGCGAAATCGATGAAGATTTTATTGGCGATTATCTGTTATCTTGAAATTTTTACATTCATACTTGATCAATTCTGACACCGATGTAATTGCAACAATCCTCATAAAAATTGTATTTGTCCTACACTGAATATTTTGTGTAGATTCAGGCACGCCTTTTGTATGAATTTGAGGTGAACTACTGCCAAGGACGTCGAGAGGAGGGGGTTAGGAGGGGCAAAAGGTCCGGGGCCCGTAATAAAGTAACAAGATCTATTTGCAATTGCAAAAAAGCTGCTATTTCTGCAAAAAGGCCTGTAAGTTTATCGTAGAGAAATGTCCACATGTCCTTGTATCATGTAAAATGTTTTTGCACATTCTCGTAAAAATCCTTAAAAAACGTTTGCAACAATTGTACCTAAAGAAGGCGTTCCCTTGTTCTCTGGGAGACTGACGAGCGTGGCCATAGGGAATTTTCTTAAGGCCATGAGCCCCCCTTGGGCCTGAGCTGCCTCTCGATGGCCCTGCCTACTGGTGTTGCGTTTTTTTGATGATCTTAATCATTGGAGCAAAACTAGGATGATGTAACATAATCTGTGCTTTGAAATTTTATTTGTGCGTAGCAACACCCTTTTACGAAACAGCTTTTTATAGGCATTTTGTTATTCAGGTAAAGATGAAGACTGTGAACCCAGTCTTTGAACAGTCATTCAATTTCAAGCACATAACATATTCCCAGCTTACAAGCAGCTATGTACATTTGAAGGTGTATGATTACGACAGATTCTCTGGACACGATTTGCTTGGCGAGGCCAAAGTTCCAGTTATAGATTTGGATCTAAATCATCCTGTCGAGGAAACACGTATATTACAACCAGAGTTTAAATTCGAGTCTAAAGGGGTGAGATTCTATCTTTACATATTTGATGCATTTACTTTTACAAAAATTGTAATGGCAAACTATAATGGTAATCCAAAAGTTATAAACTTAGGTATTAATAATCAAATAGTGGGGCTAAGATGCCTTTCGTATTGATTGATAGCAGTGTTTCATCTTGATGAAAAGCCTGTCCTGTAAAATCTATTATGGTTAATTTTTTGTTATTCTTTTTCTAAGAAGAATTTTCTTTTGTTAGTGGTATTGATCAGAATTTTTTTTTGTGAAAATCGCACAGAAGTGAGATTTTCTGGTGTGAAATGAATGGATTTTATTCGGCTTCCCAAACTTCGCATCTTCACGCCATCATTTCCCTAAATACGCTTCTTTCATTGCAGCAAGTTTCATGAAACCCATTTTTGTAGTTGACTCTACAGTTAAGCCTTGCAGAACAGTAAAATTACAACATTATTATAATCACCTTAAACGATCTTTTCCTAAAATAATTTTGTTACAAGACCACCTTCTATCAGAGCTTATTCTAAGGAAAATTTCCAGCTCCACAAATCATCATTATATTTTTTTGCGTTATTCACCTTAAAGACCGGTCAATTTGTAACAAATGTTGACAGGGTTGGCAAGGTTTTTGGGAGGCTCTGGGGCAAAGCTAAAACTGGACCCCCTGCGAGCGAAGCGAGAAGAATAATTTTGCGACCACGCCCTTCAGATTAGCTTAAAATACATTTCAGAATATTTCTTGCAGTAGTTTTCTTCTAATCAATGGAAAGTTTACTATTTTATGCATACTTTTGTTACGTTTGATTAAAATGGAATTCAGTACTTTATGAGGCCCCCTAGACCTCGAGGTCTTGTGCCATTTCCCCCTCTTTTCTCTCTCTCCTTCTCGTCGGCGCGGGGTGATGGTTGAATTTCTGTTGTTATATGCTGTATCCTTAGGTATATTGCCTATGTCCCACATTCGCAAACCGAAACATTTTTGTTCTACAGTACAATTCAATAGCAAAAACTACGGCTCAGGTAATTAGTCTTGTCATACCCTATCACAAACTAGATATCAGCCACATCAGCTGATCTGATCGGTAGAGTTTCCAACATCAGTACTGCTGAACTGTTTCATAAGAACGAAATATGATAAGAATAATAATTAGAAAACAAGGAATGTTTTGTTGTTATGTTTGAATTTTCCAGCTCCGCAGAATTTCATATTCAGTTCAACATTTCGATTTCCAGCTCCAAAAAGGGCCCAAATCCAGCTTAGAATAAGCTTTTGCCTTCTATGTTCAAAGATTATATTCCCCAACCCCCCTCCCCCCCCTGGTCAAACACGCAACCAAGACACGATTTTTGGTATTGTATCTTAACAGTGTTTTTTCCAGCCAATGTTGAGTTGCAGGGCCGTAAATCTGTCATGTGAATTGGGGGGGTCAGCAGAGCGAATGAATATAAAGTATGCAGTGGGTCATGGCACCACAAGGGATTTATAGTATGTGTTATGGAAACAGTTGAGGGGCAAATTACTTTAAAAACAAAAGTCAATATTTTTGGATTTCTCAAGACATTCTGCTCTATAGAAGGTATTTACAGATATTCCTTAGTACATTGACTTGTGTGTATGATTGGATTGATAACATTTTTCAGAGACGGCCCCAAGAAATTGAACCTTGGGAGCTAAGAATCAAGTTTACTCTCGTAGGAGGACCCACCATGGTTGGGTCCGACGCGGAAGAAAATTTTTGAAATTTTACCTTCTAGAAAGGCTAAAAAAGCATCCCCCAGACTAAATTTAATAAAATACTAGAATTGCTCAGGATAGAAAGTTTGGCGTTTTTCAATAGAACACAGATTGTTGTTTATTGGGTGAAATTTTGGAGGGGAAGAGTCATGCTTAAACCTTAGTGACAGACTTTGGAGAAATATGGGACACTGTTGTATTGATTGGTAGAAATCTACTTTCTGAACAGAAATGTGCGTCTTCCTTATTTTGACTGATTTCAGTAGGCCATGTTTACACATCAAAAATGAATATATTTTAATGATACAAAAAGTGATTTACTAAATAAAAGTAAATAATAGACAAATAATAGAAATGTACTTAAATAAGTTAGTAAATAGGTCAAATAAAATGACAGATTGCTCTCTTTTTATTTCATACTCTGTTTTCAAAAATAAAACGGTGTAAAACAGTAGAAAACGGTAAGTTTTTATATTGTAAAAATCATAAAAACCACTCTGCTTACAAAAATAACCTTAGTGGCTGAGGTTTGTTGCAATAACACAGAAAACGTAGTTTGGTTCTAACCCGGCTACCAGGGATTTCTTTCTTCCAAGAAAAATGATGGTAATTTCTCCAAAAAATCGTTTTGCTCCAGATTTTTGGGGGGGTCCAGTCCCCCCCGTCCCCCCCGGGATTTACGGCTCTGTTGAGTTGCTTTATCGACCATTCACCGCCAAAACTGTGTTGGCAAGTTTACCTTAGTAGTACCTTCCACTTCATTCAATTGACTTATACACTTTCCATTTTAGATGAAAAAAGGAGATCCTCTTTTGGGGCACATATGCATAGCTCTAGCGTACGCACCAAACCCGCAGCTACTCGCGGTTTTCATCCTGGCCTGCAAGGACCTTAAGAGTACAGATGAAGGTGGATTTTCTGGTGAGCATTTATCTTTGATGAAATTTTCAAAGTCGAAAATTGTCTGTTTATTCTACATGTAGAAATGCTATGCCAGACAGTTTTAGTGAAAATGATGCTTTTAGCATTAAAAGTGTGTGTGAAGGAGTTTAAATGTTTGTGAATTAATGTGATGTAAATGTGATAAAGCCACGTTCCGGGGAGGACATAACAATGTTTATGAATTGTGCCTCCTCATAAATTTGCTTGGCGATCTGTACCCTGGGTGCCAGAGCTACAAAATTTCGTGGCATTCCTCCGCTTCTCCACTCCTATCTTCTATTTCTGCGATTGAATTAATGTGGCTCTGGTACCCAAAGTAGTCAATCTGTGTAAAAAGTGAGGGTTTTTTCTCGTAGATCCGTACGTGAAATTCTGGATCGTGCAAGAAGGCAAAAAGGTGAAAAAGAGGAAGACAACTGTAAAAATGAGGACGCTAAACCCATCTTACAATGAATCATTTTTCTTCGAAGTTGATTTCGAAAAAATCGAAGAAACATCAGCCATGTTTATTGTATGTGACTATGACAAAGGCGAAAAAGGAGAGCCAATAGGAGAGGTGCTTCTAGGGTCCTTGGGGACTGGTGCCCAGCTAAAACATTGGACTCAAATGAGGCGTACACCTGGAAAGCCTGTTGCGAGATGGCATCGATTACGACCGCCCACTTTATCAGAGTAGAAAAGTATCGTCGATTTAGAGCTGTATGTATAGAACCTGGCTTAAGCAACGGAGATTGCTGCCCCTGTGATTCCTGTCCCCCTATTTAAAAGATAGCCCTTCTTGGATTGGAAACCCTTAGAAGAGGACTTTTTGTAAGTCAGTTTCAAGATTTCCCATCACAAAATCCCAAGAGCTTCGAGAGGGCTTGCTATGTGGATAGAGACCCCACCTAAGGGTACTCTTGGCATTAGGGTCTCGTAAACTGATGATTGGCTATTACAGATCGTATAAGGACCTAAGGCCGTATAAAACAAAAAAGCTATGAAGCAAACCATATAAACAGTCCTTATTTCATGGTGATTGTTTGCATTTGAACAATTCCGTTGTTGAGCCAAATAGTCTTAGTCGAAAGCTTGTTTGAACAGCTTGATAAAGAGATAAACATGATTTGGAGTTCTTATAGTTACCATAGAGAAGCGTCACAGCTGCATCATCTTTAGATTGTTAACAGAATCGTTTACTTCTAATATTTGGCACATTTCACTCAATGGAAATTATATGCATTGTATGTAAAATGCTCTATATGCCAAGAGAAAACCGATAAATTAATGTCTTAAAATATTTTTTGCTGAAAAGAACAGGACGGCTCTAAGCTGCTACGCTGTGTTTTACTGTATATATTCGTATATATTTAAAACCGTTTCGGTTCCTCCCAGCGTCCTAGGCAACTTATTTTGCTATTAGCTAAAATAAATGTCACATATTCTGTATTAACTACTATAATAATTAATTTAAGTACCCTGTAATTAGTTGCTGAATACCAATGAATTTGAATTTGAATTTATTCAACTTTCACTGCCACAAATAAAAACTTTTTTTAGATCAGTAGTTTGCGTCCTCGTTCCCGATGTCCTTTTGTTATTATATCGTTTTAAAACGAGGTCTTCGCTAAACGAGACTGTTTATTAAAATTTCTCGCGCGCAATTACGGATGATAAAAGTTAAGAAAATTCCTGTTTTGTTACGATTTGCCATGAATATCGGAGAAAATACTGCAAAAAGGACCATACTCCTGATTAAAAAACCAGATAGAGCGAAGGTTAATCAACAGGTACATTTTACGACGATGATGTCATCGTTGGTGTCGCTCTTGGCCTAAGCATCTCTGTGTATATCGAGGGAAGCGACGGAGTGAAGGAACTGAAACAGGGATAGGATTGAGCTCAAGTTTGGATATAATGTAGTTTTTACTTCGCTGCAAGGTTTCGTGAAAATATGTTGAAGAGGCAACTTCAATTTTCAAGGAGTTGTGGAACAGAAGGTTTCCAACGTGTAAGTATCCACAGTAATTGTCTAGCTTATTCAACTGTTTATTCAATACATAAATTGTCTAGCTTTTAAATAAACATAAACAACACATAATAGCTTTTTTTAAATGAACTGTTTTAAATAACTAAATAGCCTTAATCTGCACTTTATCTAACTAATTGCATTTTTTTAGAAATTTTCAGTTTGATTGTTCCTTTTTGTGTGCCTTTTTAGTTAAGGCAAGTGTATCTAGACTGTAAAGCCTTAGTCTTAATAAAATATATTCACACTAAATGCTGAAATTTTGTCAGTTACTCAAGTCACTTAGCACCCAATGCTGCTGAACTTTGGTTTTATATATTGAATGTGAAGTTCAAAATTCTATGAAATTGAAAATAATTTTTTTTTCTTTTTCAGCAGCCTGAAGCTTTTGTAAATGGGTAAAGCAAGTTTGGTGAATTCAACAGATGTTTCAGTTTCATTCTTATCAAAAGAAAACAAAGACAGTGCAACATCATTTTTCAAGAAATGCTGGGAACTTTTGAAAAAGCTTCCAAGTATGTGCATTTACAATATATCATTGTGAATAAGCTGTATCTAGACAAGATATAATTGTGAATAAGCGGTATCTAGAATTATCTAGACTTTTGCAATGCACCCAAATATATATATTTTTTCATACCCATTGTCACTTGTTTGTAGATAATATAGCCAGATAAATAGCCATTGCAAATTACCTGCTTAATAAAAAACAAAAAATTTTCTCTAGAAAAAAAATTATGTATATGATTTATGTATTGATCAGAAAATACCCTTTGTTGTATAGAACAGGAGGGTTTTCAGTTTCTTGCTTAATGCAATCATCAAGCAGTTGATAAGAAAATGTATAATATATTTATATAAGGTATTCCATGAGCTTTTTCTCATAAATATACTAGATTGCTGTGTGCGGTATAATACAATGCTATAATAATGATGAATGTAAGTAAATTGTACCAGGAAAACAATTAATCAAATGAATGGTGACGTTTTTTTATATTCTCATAAAGTTTTACAAAATAGACAAACTATGAGAGGATGCCACAGAGAGCATGGACATACATAGCAACCCTGTGACCATTAAACATGTTTACTTGAAATTAGAGTTACATTAAATGTTGCAAATTACATGTTACAGATTACTAATAGCAAAAAAACATTTACAATTTGGAAGTTAAAACAAAAACAAAGACAAACTACATTGACAAAAACAAAACAAGAATAATGAAAGACAAATTACTTAGGAGAGAAGATTTATGAAGCTACTAAATGAAAACTTCCAGAGGTCTGAATATATTTTAATGTTGCCTTGAGAATTCAAAGATAATTTTTCATGACCATAAAGAATTATTTGCAGTAAAGCTTCATTCGAAAGGTTTGTCAATCCATGGTGACTCAAAGGGTTGCAATATAGCCCTCACAAAGTTTAAATCAAAGTTCAAATCACATGCAGCTTCATGTGGGTCATTCAAAACTGTGAAGATTGATGTGTCATCAGGGAATAGTTTCACATTATATGTTAAGCCATCTGTCAAGTTATTGATAAAAATTATGAAAAAAAGAGGACAGAGGATTGATCCTTGGGGGACTCTAGATAAAATACTACCCCATTTAGACGTTTTCCATCCAAAACAGTACATTGCTTTCTATCATTGAGAAAGCTTTGCATTAGCATTAGTAATTTACCAGAGACAGCATAGCTTGTTTATGAGACGGAGATGTCAGACCCTGTCAAAGGCCTTTATCAAGAAAAACAGACGGGATATCTACCATAGGATTGCAGTCGCAAGCTATAAATATGGAGTTGACTATTGTCAGTAACTGGTTGCGGTTGAAGCTCCTGGGCAAAATCCTGACTGATTTGGGTTTAATAAATTGTTTATATTCAGATGATGATTAAGGGAGTCAAAGATCAGCTTTTCCAGAATTTTACCATAGATTGGAAGAAGAGAGATAAGATGATAGTTTTGCTTCAAGTTCTTACTGCCTTTCTTATGGATGGGGACTATGTTAGCTTGCTTCCAGACTTCAGGGAAAACACCTTGGCTCATACATGATTCAAAAGTCAATCTAAATGGTAGAAGAAGTGCATCATCGCATGTCTTTATCATATGCACTGAGATATTGTCACAACCATGAGCCCTGTTTGAATTTAATGATTGAGTGATGTGCAAGATCTTCTCGTCAGAGATAGGGAAGGCACTGGGCAGTGGAATATTATGTACCAATACTGGAGGGAGTTTGCTACCAGTATCGATTGTGGTGCATTGTTGGATAAAATGATTATTTAGAATTTCTGCTTTTTCAGCAAAACCCAACACAAATGCATCGTTTTCTAACAGAGGAGGGATTGTGGGCATTTTAGCTTTGTTCAAAATTTTATTGATCAAGGACCAATAGAGTTTTTCCCTGTTTCAGGATTTGAAAGGCGTTTACAATAATGATGTTTACAAGCTTGATAACAGGCTATGCTTGAAACGTCATTATTCATTTAATCTTTTTTTTTCCTGGTACAATTTACTTTAATTCATTGTTATTAAAGCTTTTTCACATACCTATCAAATCTTCATTTATGTATCATTTTCACTGTTTCTATAACTAGTTAATTTACATTTTCAGTCCCACCCATTGCAACACTAAGCATTGCTGGTGCAATTCTGCTTCTCTTTTTCATTTGTTGTTGCTGTTGCTGCTGCCGAGTCTGTTGTCGCCGTAAAAAGGTTGATGATGACAAAGACAGTGATGGGGAGGGAAGTGTTGATTTGAACACCATTGAATTACTTGATGTCCCACTGCATGAAAAAATGGAGTCAGCTGTAGATGAAATGGATTACAGTGTTGCCGGGTTCTTTGATGAAGAGGGAATTGAAGGAACTGTGTTAGGTTTGTGCATCTTTATACTGCATAAGTTTTAAAAATACCACATTGAATCATGTCAACCTAGGTTTTTTATAACTAGGTTCCATAGTTTTATCTACTTTTATGTTGACATGGAAAAGGAAGGGTCTTGCAATATTTTATAATTATCTTAGCATAGCAGTGAATAATCAACTTTTTTACATTTGAATGAAAGCAAAATAGAACGGAGGGAGAAATATTACTCTAAGGATTAATTCTGTCTCCTACTAAGTTTTCTTCTACTTTCCTCTCCTTCTTCCGAGACATTTTGAAGTTCAACAACCAACAATTCTGTAATACAGCTCAACCACAAACACTTGTGTCTTGACAAGTTGGCACACTTCAGATCCATGCTGATACTGTATTCACTTTGTACCGGCATAGTGAAAACAGAGTTTTAATCATTATTTCACATTTCAATTTTCTCGTTTTGAAAACAAAGTGCAGAGTTTTTACCAATTTAAACAGCAAATTACACATTTCCTTGAAGTTTATCCAATTATGCTACTGCTGCACTATTTGCCAATTTAGAAAAAGGGCATTTTGTTGTTTATAAGCCTTGTTCTTTTGAAATTTTCTCGTGTTTGCAGAAATTAAATCTCTTGTTTACAATGGCTGAAAATCCTAGAATATCCCTACCATCAATTCAACTTTCTACCATACAGTTTACTCTATACATGCCTCATTATTTTTCTAGGGAGGGTGAAATTCAGCATGGTGTATGATTTTAAAGAGCAGAATTTGTCAATAACTATTTTTGAGGCAACTGATTTGCCGGCTGCAGATGAAGGTGGTGAATCTGACCCATACATTCGTGTAATGCTGTTACCAGACACAAAGCGCAGATTCGAAACATCGGTATGAAAACAATTTGGCTATGTATGTCCTCTCAGTAAATCAATACTTGTAATTTGCCATTCTTAAATGTAAAATTGGTTTTGTCTAAACATAGAATGTACGCTTGCTTTTGCTTACTGCATTAATATTCAATATGCAAGGACCCATCTCATCTTCGCATAGATGACATCAGAAAACTAAATCTAAATATCCACGAAGGTGAACCCAGCTCCTTGCTTGGTTTTGTATTATCCTTGTAATTTATTGTACCTAGCCTTACTGGTAAGTTTGTATTGTAAATTTTTATTGGTTTTATGTCGTTTAAACTTGATTGACTGACATGATTGACATGAGTGTTGCATTAGCGTTCTGGCAAGCCAACAATTCTAGCTTTAAGCTTCTAAAAAGTTTTTATTTGTCTTTTTCTAATCAGGTACTTGACAATACACTGGACCCTGTTTATAACCAAACATTTGTTTTCAATAACGTCCCATACAACGAAATACAGAATCGGACGCTTTGCATCCAGGCATTGGACTTTGATCAGGTAGCAGCTCATGATGTACTTGGTGAAGCGAAAATACCCTTGATCGATATGAACCTTAACATACCAGTAGACAGGGAATGGCGGATCCTAGTTCCAGGGTTTGATGGTGAAAAAGGAGTAAGTATACTTCAAAGGGTAGAGTGTTTGTATGCTGCTGTTTAGCAGTCGATGTTGTTTGACATTTCTTTTGAGACTCGAGTCAGGGGCAAACAGTACTCCGTATATTGAACAGCAATGGCCTTGCAGCAGAACGAATTTAGCTGTTGTTTAGATAAGTGGTTTGAATGGACAATTTAAGGCACTTACAGCCTTTCTTGTCTCTGTCTTTGGGTCTTTTCATTCACAAATATCATAAGGCTATAACGAGGTTTTTTCATTTAACAATTGCTGTTTTCAAAGCGATCAGCCGTCTTAGGACACTGAAAAGAAATGCAGCAGTATTGATATTACAGAAGATGACATCGACTCTGTAAAGTTCTCCAATTCTGACTTTCTCTAGTTATCAACTTCTTGGCATTCTTCCCCGTTGTTCAGCTCTTACTATTGTTAGGATGTTTAATAATGATTGCCCTGCTTATTTGGTCGTAGGAATTCAAGAAATCTGTCTCAGATTTTGGTGACATATGCGTATCTCTCCGGTACATCCCAACAACAAAGAAACTTTTTGTTTACCTTCTGGAATGCCAGAACCTCAAAAGCACAGATCCTGGTGGTGTATCAGGTACGTTTTTGGCCGATTCGTTTTATATAACGTTTCCAATCAATGGCTACGTATTTTTGATTCAAACCCTTTATACCATTCCTTTTCGTATTTTCCAATAAAGTGAAGTTTAATTTTACCTCTTCTGTCAAACATTTTTCATTAGGGTTCATTCATATAAACTACGTCAGCAGATATTCATGGTTTGACATGCCTTTGTCAAGTAAAAATTGGGTATCGCACGGGTCTCAACAGTGAGGAGCACTATAGAAACCAAAAGATTTGCAGTAACCCCCCTAAATCTACGTATTTTTCCTGTATATTAAGGAAAGTTCTCAAAGCTTTTGCTCATTTTCCGGAGGTAGGGCGAGCACTTTTCTGGGTGCTGTCATTTTGTTTTTATGCCAGCATTGGCATCTTTTCGTGATATGGTTGATATTATTTGGAAAACAATTTGTTCAGAAAGCATCTTTTTGAAAGGACTTCTTATAGTTTTTGCTTATCTTGCCATTTTGCCTCCGGAAAACTCCCTGTATTTGTGGGCATTTGCTTTCGTTTGTTTCTATCTGGAATTGCAGAGAGCTGGCTACTCCCCTCACTTTGGACGAAAGTTTCGTCATTTCCTGGACTCGAACCCCACATCCTTTGATCTGTAGTCCGCGACCGTAGCCACAAAGCCATCCTTGGGCTTAATCGACGCTTTTTACATCTTCAAGCATTTGACGGTTTTGTGATCGCTAATTGAGTCAGTGATCGCTGATTGGGTTTGTGAACCAGTCAAACCTTTTTGACCCCGACTTTTTTACGTCATTTTATGTATTTGAAATATAACATCCTGCCATATAGTTAGATCTGCCTAACCTATGAACTCTCTGGTTGATAAATGGATACTTGCTTTGCTAAAGAATCGTTTCCAATTCAGATCCGTATGTGAAAATTTCGATATTCCAAGGTGGCAAAAAGGTGAAGATGAAAAAGTCGACGGTTAAAAAACAAACTCTGAATCCATATTACAACGAACAGTTTTTGTTTATTGTGCCACCGGAAAAGATCGAAAAAACAGCCATACAGTTTATGGTTATGGATTATGACTTGATTGGCAAAGCTGACGTCATCGGTCAAGTTACGATAGGCGTTGGCACCTATGGGCCGCAATTACGACACTGGCGCGACATGTTGCGAAATCCTCATAAACCGTTACCACAATGGCATATGCTTAGGCCAAAGATAAAGAAAGGCGAAGATGATTAACTCTGTAAGTTCTTAAACCTGAATTATGACGAGGAGTGGGTAGATATAAACTGCAGCTGCGACAGTGGCGCGACATGTTACGAAATCCTCGTAAACCGTGACCACAATTACATACGCTTACGCCAAAGATAAAGAAATGCCAAAGTGATTAACTCTGTATGTCCTCAAGCCGAACTAACTACCAGGAGTGCAACGTTGCAAAGTCCTGGAAAAATTTATAATGCAACATATTGTAAAATTCTCGTAAACTACTAACCCGATTGTTTACACCAATGACAAACAAAGATGAGAGGGATCAATTCCCTAGGTTATGAGGCCTAAACTGCAAAAAAAGCTTTCATATAGGGCAGTTACGACAAAATGCTCATACACCGATGACTTAATTCTGATGCATAGGCCATAAAGACTTTATTATGCAAATTGTAGATCTAAGCACTAACTGCAACAGGGAGAATATTGACCAGTGATAAATTATACAGTAAGCAATTTCAAAGTCGATTGTGACATAAGTATTCCATCTTAATGTTATTTAAAGTGCTACTTACAAAATGACAACTTGAAAAGGAAAGAAAACTACGCGAAAATAGGATCATTGCCTTTTTTGCGTTTGGAAAAACAAATTAATAGTTTATTACCACATACTGCAAGATAGATACATTAGTGCTCCGTATATAAAGAAATATTCTTTTAAGAACCTGCAAGTTTTTTTTAATGTTGTGTACTAGATTATGAGAAATTTTTCAGCATGAGTTTTTCAAACTTCTCATAGCTGCTAGTTGCTTACTTAGAACAAAGGTTGTGAAATATAGTTCATGTGAGATAAAGTTTTCCAAACAAAATTGGCTTTCCGCTTTCTACATTTAAAACAATGCTTTCTAGATATTTATTAAAAATTACTCTTCTCCCAAACTAAGTTCAATTTCTGTTCTTTATGAACATCCTGAAGCATATAAACGTCTTTTTGAAGTAAAAATTTTCCAAAAATTTTCATGATTTTTCTAAGCCTATAGCCTTACTTTTTCATCAAAAATTGACCACTTTAGAAAGTCATTATTTTTTAACAAAAACGACTTCTATTCCCAAACTGAGTTGAATTTCTGTTCTTTATGATCATGCTGAAGCATATAAACCTCTTTTTGAAGAAAAAATTTTCGAAAAATTTTCATGATTTTCCTAAGCCTATAGCCTTACTTTTTCATCAAAAATTGACCACTCTAGAAAGTCGTTATTTTTTAACAAAAACGACTTCTATTCCCAAACTTAGTTCAATTTCTATTCTTTTTGATCTTGCTGAAACAGATAAACCTCTTTTTTGAAGAAAAAATTTTCGAAAAATTTTCATGATTTTCCTAAGCCTATAGCCTTACTTTTTCATCAAAAATTGACCACTTTAGAAAGTCATTATTTTTTAACAAAAACGACTTCTATTCCCAAACTAAGTTCAATTTCTATTCTTTATGATCATGCTGAAGCATATAAACCTCTTTTTGCAGAAAAAATTTTCGAAAAATTTTCATGATTTTCCTAAGCCCATGGCCTTACTTTTTTATCAAAAATTGAACGCTCTAAAAAGTCATTATTTTTTAACAAAAACAACCGTTGTTCCCAAACTAAGTTCAATTTCTGTTCTTTATGAACATCCTGAAGCATATAAACGTCTTTTTGAAGTAAAAATTTTCCAAAAATTTTCATGATTTTCCTAAGCCTACAGCCTTACTTTTTTATCAAAAATTGACCACTTTAGAAAGTCATTATTTTTTAACAAAAACGACTTCTATTCCCAAACTAAGTTCAATTTCTCTTCTTTATGATCATGCTGAAGCATATAAATCTCTTCTTGACGAAAAAATTTTCGAAAAATTTTCATGATTTTCCTAAGCCTATAGCCTTACTTTTTCATCAAAAATTGACCACTTTAGAAAGTCATTAGTTTTTAACAAAAACGACTTCTATTCCCAAACTAAGTTCAATTTCTATTCTTTATCATCATGCTGAAGCATATAAACCTCTTTTTGCAGAAAAAATTTTCGAAAAATTTTCATGATTTTCCTAAGCCCATGGCCTTACTTTTTTATCAAAAATTGAACGCTCTAAAAAGTCATTATTTTTTAACAAAAACAACCGTTGTTCCCAAACTAAGTTCAATTTCTGTTCTTTATGAACATCCTGAAGCATATAAACGTCTTTTTGAAGTAAAAATTTTCCAAAAATTTTCATGATTTTCCTAAGCCTACAGCCTTACTTTTTTATCAAAAATTGACCACTTTAGAAAGTCATTATTTTTTAACAAAAACGACTTCTATTCCCAAACTAAGTTCAATTTCTCTTCTTTATGATCATGCTGAAGCATATAAATCTCTTCTTGAAGAAAAAATTTTCGAAAAATTTTCATGATTTTCCTAAGCCTATAGCCTTACTTTTTCATCAAAAATTGACCACTCTAGAAAATCGTAATTTTTGACAAAAACGACTTCTATTCCCAAACTTAGTTCAATTTCTATTCTTTTTGATCTTGCTGAAACATATAAACCTCTTTTTTGAAGAAAAAATTTTCGAAAAATTTTCATGATTTTCCTAAGCCTATAGCCTTACTTTTTCATCAAAAATTGACCACTTTAGAAAGTCATTATTTTTTAACAAAAACGACTTCTATTCCCAAACTAAGTTCAATTTCTATTCTTTATGATCATGCTGAAGCATATAAACCTCTTTTTGAAGAAAAAATTTTCGGAAAATTTTCATGATTTTCCTAAGCCTATAGCCTTACTTTTTCATCAAAAATTGACCACTTTAGAAAGTCATTATTTTTTAACAAAAACGACTTCTATTCCCAAACTAAGATCAATTTCTGTTCTTTATGATCATGCTGAAGCATATAAACCTCTTTTTTGAAGAAAAAATTTTCGAAAAATTTTCATGATTTTCCTAAGCCTATAGGCTTACTTTTTTATCAAAAATTGACCACTTTAGAAAGTCATTATTTTTTAATGAAAACGACATCTATTCCCAAACTAAGTTCAATTTCTTTTCTTAATGATCATGCTGAAGCATATAGACCTGTTTTTTGCAGAAAAAATTTTCGAAAAATTTTCATGATTTTCCTAAGCCTATAGCCTTACTTTTTTATCAAAAATTGAACGCTCTAAAAAGTCATTATTTTTTAACAAAAACAACCGTTGTTCCCAAACTTAGTTCAATTTCTGTTCTTTATGAACATCCTGAAGCATATAAACGTCTTTTTGAAGTAAAAAGTTTCCACAAATTTTCATGATTTTCCTAAGCCTACAGCCTTACTTTTTTATCAAAAATTGACCACTTTAGAAAGTCATTATTTTTTAACAAAAACGACTTCTATTCCCAAACTAAGTTCAATTTCTGTTCTTTATGATCATGCTGAAGCATATAAACCTCTTTTTTGAAGAAAAAATTTTCGAAAAATTTTCATGATCTTCCTAAGCATATAGCCTTACTTTTTCATCAAAAATTGACCACTCTAGAAAGTCGTTATTTTTTAACAAAAACAAATGTTGCTCCCAAACTAAGTTGAATTTCTGTTCTTTATGATCATGCTGAAGCATATAAACCTCTTTTTGAAGAAAAAATTTTCGGAAAATTTTCATGATTTTCCTAAGCCTATAGCCTTACTTTTTCATCAAAAATTGACCACTTTAGAAAGTCATTATTTTTTAACAAAAACGACTTCTATTCCCAAACTAAGTTGAATTTCTGTTCTTTATGATCATGCTGAAGCATATAAACCTCTTTTTGAAGAAAAAATTTTCGAAAAATTTTCATGATTTTCCTAAGCCTATAGCCTTACTTTTTCATCAAAAAATGACCACTTTAGAAAGTCATTATTTTTTAACAAAAACGACTTCTATTCCCAAACTAAGTTCAATTTCTGTTCTTTATGATCATGCTGAAGCATATAAACCTCTTTTTGAAGAAAAAATTTTCGAAAAATTTTCATGATTTTCCTAAGCCTATAGCCTTACTTTTTCATCAAAAATTGACCACTCTAGAAAGTCGTTATTTTTTAACAAAAACGACTTCTATTCCCAAACTTAGTTCAATTTCTATTCTTTTTGATCTTGCTGAAACAGATAAACCTCTTTTTTGAAGAAAAAATTTTCGAAAAATTTTCATGATTTTCCTAAGCCTATAGCCTTACTTTTTCATCAAAAATTGACCACTTTAGAAAGTCATTATTTTTTAACAAAAACGACTTCTATTCCCAAACTAAGTTCAATTTCTATTCTTTATCATCATGCTGAAGCATATAAACCTCTTTTTGCAGAAAAAATTTTCGAAAAATTTTCATGATTTTCCTAAGCCCATGGCCTTACTTTTTTATCAAAAATTGAACGCTCTAAAAAGTCATTATTTTTTAACAAAAACAACCGTTGTTCCCAAACTAAGTTCAATTTCTGTTCTTTATGAACATCCTGAAGCATATAAACGTCTTTTTGAAGTAAAAATTTTCAAAAATTTTCATGATTTTCCTAAGCCTATAGCCTTACTTTTTCATCAAAAATTGACCACTCTAGAAAGTCGTTATTTTTTAACAAAAACGACTTCTATTCCCAAACTTAGTTCAATTTCTATTCTTTTTGATCTTGCTGAAACATATAAACCTCTTTTTTGAAGAAAAAATTTTCGAAAAATTTTCATGATTTTCCTAAGCCTATAGCCTTACTTTTTTATCAAAAATTGACCAATTTAGAAAGTCATTATTTTTTAACAATAACGACTTCTATTCCCAAACTAAGTTCAATTTCTATTCTTTATGATCATGCTGAAGCATATAAACCTCTTTTTGAAGAAAAAATTTTCGGAAAATTTTCATGATTTTCCTAAGCCTATAGCCTTACTTTTTCATCAAAAATTGACCACTTTAGAAAGTCGTCATTTTTTAACGAAAACGACTTCTATTCCCAAACTAAGATCAATTCCTATTCTTTATGATCATGCTGAAGCATATAAACCTTTTTTTTGAAGAAAAAATTTTCGAAAAATTTTCATGATTTTCCTAAGCCTATAGCCTTACTTTTTTATCAAAAATTGACCAATTTAGAAAGTCATTATTTTTTAACAATAACGACTTCTATTCCCAAACTAAGTTCAATTTCTATTCTTTATGATCATGCTGAAGCATATAAACCTCTTTTTGAAGAAAAAATTTTCGGAAAATTTTCATGATTTTCCTAAGCCTATAGCCTTACTTTTTCATCAAAAATTGACCACTTTAGAAAGTCGTCATTTTCTAACGAAAACGACTTCTATTCCCAAACTAAGATCAATTCCTATTCTTTATGATCATGTTGAAGCATATAAACCTTTTTTTTGAAGAAAAAATTTTCGAAAAATTTTCATGATTTTCCTAAGCCTATAGCCTTACTTTTTTATCAAAAATTGACCAATTTAGAAAGTCATTATTTTTTAACAATAACGACTTCTATTCCCAAACTAAGTTGAACTTCTATTCTTTATGATCATGCTGAAGCATATAAACCTCTTTTTGAAGAAAAAATTTTCGGAAAATTTTCCTGATTTTCCTAAGCCTATAGCCTTACTTTTTTATCAAAAATTGACCAATCTAGAAAGTCGTCATTTTTTAACGAAAACGACTTCTATTCCCAAACTTAGTTCAATTTCTATTCTTTTTGATCTTGCTGAAACAGATAAACCTCTTTTTTGAAGAAAAAATTTTCGAAAAATTTTCATGATTTTCCTAAGCCTATAGCCTTACTTTTTCATCAAAAATTGACCACTTTAGAAAGTCATTATTTTTTAACAAAAACGACTTCTATTCCTAAACTAAGTTCAATTTCTATTCTTTATGATCATGCTGAAGCATATAAACCTCTTTTTGCAGAAAAAATTTTCGAAAAATTTTCATGATTTTCCTAAGCC